TGTTCTCCGAGATTGCAGTAGGAATTTTTTCATTTTTATTAAAACTATTTTTGAAAGAGCAGAAAAAATTCATACTTGGATTGCAGAAATATTCAGTCCCTAGTCAGATATATTTAATATCGAAAATAAAAGAATTTCTGAAAAAGTATGAGCGACAAAGAAGTATAGTTATTAAGTAACTTGGATGTAAATAACTCGGAGTTAATTTATCGCGTGAGTCGAAAGCTTTGATCGACCTTTGCACCCATTAGTAAGGAGCTGTAAATGCGACACAGAGGAAAAGAGAATCAGAGAGTAAAGCACGAAGTAAAAAGCAGCTCTAAGGTCTGCTTTACGCGAGAGTATTAGCCTATTGTAATTGTTTTGATACACGCGCCGGTAATTGCGTAACGATTTATATCCTTATTGGGCGACGCGTTGAAAATTATCTACTTCATTGGCGAGTCGTCGGTATCCTTTTTATATGCACAATATTTATGTTCATTACGTATCACGGATAAGCAGTTGAACTAGTGTTGCCAATACCCGGTTAACTGCAAACAGGTTGAGCAAGAATCAGACGGCGCGACTCTCAGCGGAGATACACGGCACGCACGTGTATGCATGCGTTAGGGGCTAGGTACACAGCGACCGGACAAACTGCCAAGGAACCACCTCGTCGTTGTTAACATTTTTCATCGGCTCTTTTCTGGCCGATGTATGGAATCGAGTAACGTATAGATATACATGAGGAAGTTTATAAGCTGTGAGTTACTTGGATCCCTGGCACCGACTCGATACCGCGATACCGTTAGCGTGTTCCTGCCGCGCTTGACATATTGGATGTTTTTAGTATATACCGTAAGATCGCGGCCGTATATACTTGCTATGTGCAGCTTAGCATTAAAAAATCGTCCAACGATGAGGCACGTTAGTAGCCACACGCCGTTTCTTTATCATTTTATACGTTTTGTCAGGGCAAGTATGGGTATGCGGTACACTTTGTGCGCGTTTCAAAATTTACGGATCCGCGCCGTACTTAAGCACGTCGCAGAACAGCCGATCGTTTCCACACATCCATGTATATACACAACTTTAGCACGAAACCAAAGTCGTAATCGCGCACACAATGCCCGCAAATCATTACTCGACTTTCGCTGCATTTCCGAGAAAATAAATGTCCTGCTTATAATTTATGCTGCGTCAAGCTTACAGAAGATATACTTTGCACTAAAAACTCGTCTCGATTTAACTTTGTCCATGATCCCACGTAGAACAATGAATTCTTTTGTAAAAATGCATTAATGCCCCTCTGTAATTTATTTTAACTATTTTAGATATTAAAAAAAATCAATTTTTCATAAAGAAAACGTTCAAGACACGTTCTTACGAGCGTTTACTAATTTAGCTATGAGGCTATTTTATTAGCCCCTATACATTTATATATTTGATTCGGATACGGCAAGTGGCTTTAAAACTGACGCAACTAAAACAATCTCACGTAAAATTCAGAACAATCAAATGAAATCGGATCCTTAGATTCTTCCATCTAGACTATCTCGTCTGGAAACGATATATTTTTAAACTGCCAAATTTTACTGCCATTAGCGCAGTTCATTGGTGCGTGTCAAGTAGTCAATTAGTCCAGCTTATCAGGATAAGTTTCGCGTGTCGCCTACACGTAAGATATCGATTGTCGTAACAAAATTTCACGTCAGACCAGAAGAACATTCGACTCACGAAAGCACGATATATAATAGCCAGCGACGCAGGCTTTGTTTAGTTGACGACGGACGTCGTCCAAGAAGTGTATACACATAAGTACAACGAACGAATCGATACAGCTCAAACGAGACTCAGACTATATAATACGTATATTATATACATATGCCGACGTAGAACGACCAAACACATGCGCACTGCGATTCACTGCAGTTCTCAACAGTAACGCGAAATATACAACTCGTGAGTAAGTATGCATGTGCACTCGCTTATACAACACAAAAAATTAGAATTCAGTATAGTAGGGGCTAAACCTATACTAAGAAATCTACTTCTGTTATTATTGACATATACACGAATGTAGGGTCAACCCCTACTAAGCTAGAATTACAATTCCAGCAGTTGCAGAGTTCAACTTTAAATAGTGCATATGCTCATACATAATACAAATTAAAGTACATGTAAAATAAAATAATAAGATTTCATAAAATTATTCCTAGTTTTTGTTAAAACGATCGTAAATATTCTTCATTAAATTACCTTACAATTTTCATTAAATTCGAAAACTTTCAAACGGAGGATTTGTATGCAAAAAATCATTTATACTGTAAAAATTTGTTTTTCCTCGTGTTTTCCAAGCCAGAACAATATAAAGCTTTAGTGCTATTGAATGAATATAAATAATTAAATTAGCAGCTCTGATAATGTATAATAACGTGAGTACATGCGTAGCGCTTTGGTATATGGAGGTCCCGTTCAAGTGACCCCTTTTAAATCGTAAATTAGACTTTTTAATTTTCTTATTTGAAATATTCGCGAATGCATTTATTATACATGCACCGTTATGAAACGATCTCTACATGAACACGATGAAAAATGAAGAAGCAAAAGGTTTTAATATTCTATTATCACTTTCTCATAAGCAAAAAAGCTATGATTTTTTTTCTTTTGGTTAAATAATTAATAATATTTGAGAAGTATGATACTTCAAGTAGGAACATATGAAAGTTATACCTATTTTAAAAATATTTCTAACATTATGAAAGTCAACATTTTGCTCAGAGAACATTCAAATTGACATCAAATGGTTTTGTAACTGATGCCACAGTAAAGAATATCACGTATTAATAATTTATGAAATATATTCTATGAAAAATGTCAGTACATTCATGTGGTCCTTTGGGTATAGAATTAAGCAATTAACTTACACTAAAGTACAAAATATTATATTAATTATAGTTTATAATTTTTCAAAGTTTAGTATCAATCAAATCAATTTAATCAAAAATTTTTAATTTTTTGTTCTCATTACTTAAACTTTCTAAACTTTAGTCACTTGAATTCGAACCATAAGAAGAGTAATGATAAATCGCAACGCTATTACTTTCCAGGTATTTTGTATCATAAATTAGTGTAAAACTTGAAATTCAAGCTTAAGCACATGTAAAAATCTTGAATAAATCCCAAATCCTCAATAAATACCTCAATGATAATGTCTACTCAAAGCCCACACATAAATAATAAATAATGTATGAAAGTAGAAAAATAGAAGTAAAGTTGCATCGTAAAATTAGAACGCAAACAAAAACACTTTACTTAAAAAAAAAACGTGTCTTTTATCATTTAACGATTAATAGTTGCCAAATGTATAAATTGAAATTGATCGACAAACGAGCAAGTTCAAAGTATCAAGTATTAGTGAGTGCAATATACTCGGAGAACATCGTCTGTTATGAATGTATAGAACGCACGATGATGTGTATATAGTATGTGGGTGGATATATTGAGACTATGTAAGACTATTGAGTACGATATTACTCATAGGCAAAGAGAAATGCAAATGTTATAGAACGTAGGAAAGTGGAAGTGTTGATGCAGAGGTGATTGAAGAGTGTCATCAAGCAGTTTGAGAAAATAGTTAAAAGATCGAAGGTACTCACATGATGAATTGGATCGTTGTACAATAAACGTGCAAAGTTCGGAGTTGGCGCTTTATTTGACGCACAAGCAAACGAGGAAACGAGCAAGTAACCTGCGAGCTTCGAGAACGTTTATATACCTATATAAATAACGGGTTCTCTCGGTCAGGTGCTATGATAGAGTCTCAAAGTAATACAACAATGAACGAGGACAAAAGCATGGAAACGAGCGGCATTTTAGTCCCTCTGTCATATCTCGTGGGCTGCTGCCATATTGCCGACGACGATGGCTGCGGCGTAACTATTAACTCTGCCAGTCGTAGGGCAGATTGCAAAAATCGTGCGCGAATGTCCTCCAAAAGGCTGCCAATGCGTCGAGTTAAATGTTCGTTGTACGTACAGGTACAACTAGAGACACGAGACACCTGTACACACGTCACAATCACAGACTGGCACAAGTTGGACACTTGGCGAGGAGTCCGAGAGGATACTGTACGGTGTTATGATACGGACGAGCGATTCCGCAACTGCAGGAGACGGCACGAGTAGCGAACGAGTCGCCAAAGAGCCGAGATTCGAAAGCAGACACTCGCTGTGGCGTGAGGCTCGAAACGAATTACTGTCTGCGAGAGCTATACAACACTAGTAGTGAGCTCATGAGCTGTGTCGAGGGCCGAGCAGCAATTCGCATCGGTGCGCCGCGCGAATCGCCAACGCATAGACTATATGCGGATGCTAGATAGTAAGTAGGCTGCCTACTCACTGGCTCACTGTACTCTAGCTGCTAGCTATGGGTCTACGAGGACTAGGTAGGCAGATTGGCATCCGCAAAAGCAAAAGTTATCCTAGACCCGTGTGCCAGGCGTAGCGTTTCGCAAGTGCGCAGCGAATGGTATAAGCTGCTCCCTAGAGGCCATCAAGCCTGGCGACATCTTTCGCCTCCAGCTCCAACTTCGTCGCACTAGCAGACGGGAGTGCGACGCGAGCTTGCTTACCACAAGTTGATTATGACTCACGAGGTTGCACAACAATTTTCCTATAAAAATTCTCTAAAAAATTTGGGTACTCAAAAAATCGATTACTCAACTGAACTGCGAGAAAAAACTCGCTTTTATCAAGTTTATGATTTTCAGCTGAAAATCTTGACAATTTTTTTCTAACGATATTCTGTGTTGAGCGAGAAATTTTAATAATATTTATAAAAAAAGCATTTATTTAATATACATGGTTTTGTGTAGTTTAAAACATTCCACGAAAATAGTTGGTAAATCGCTCAAATAGCAGAAAAAACTTTAATTAATGACTTAATTCAAAACAAGTTTTTAAAATTTTATCTAATATTTCATGTTACGCGCCAAGGTGTTTTAGTTACTTATTTAACGGTAGGTGGCACATTTTGAAAGATAAGAGTCGTCCGCAACTTGGATGTCATGGTTACAGCCGGCATCACTTCGTCGTTACTGTGTATTGCTATATATGTAAAACAGACTCTACATAGTAGATACACGTGAGCGAGTCTAGCAGTCAGCTCATATATATATTACAGAATACAGAATCAGAATTCAAACTTTGTGTGTGTTAGCAAAACTATTACTTGATTGAGTTTTTGTTTATGTTACAAGTGTGTGTGAAACAAAAAGGTAATATTATTCAACAACATTTCTTTACTAAAAAAACGGAGAGACTATTGAACGTCACAAGAATATTTAAGATCATATAGTCCATGTGCTCCAAAATCTAACCTACTTTTGCTTGCATAAGCACATTATCTCAAACGATAGTTCTGTTTCAAAAGAGTTAATTTTTTATTGCTGATTTGGATTAATAAATAAAAAAATGGAGAAAAATAACTGTACCGAAGGTGCACCTGAAGCTAAGAGGAGAAGGTGTCGTATTATATCTGATCATTTTTATGATCCAGACTTTCAAAAAGAAATCTTTTCAAGTTGGAACACTGACAATCCGATAAAAAATGAAAGACTTGAGATTATTACCAAACCCTTCAAAGTTTGCAAAATTTCAAATTTTCTTAATGATACTGATTTTTTGGACCAAATCAAAGCTAGTTTGTTGGATGTCAAAAGTACCAGGCAAGACATTGATTTATTCAAGATGGAACAAACGTCAGATCTTAGCAAAGAAAAAAATGAAAACATTAAAAAATTGTATTCAGCTTTTCAAAATGATGTTGCCGATTGGATTGAAAAAAATACTGCCATTCATCTGAATAAAAAAATTACCATGACTGGATCCTGTTATAATGATACTGATTATCTCATCTGCCATGATGATAGATTAACTGATCGAAGAATTGCATTTATTTTATATTTGAGTAAGGATTGGTCTGCTGAGTTTGGAGGTACTTTAGATTTATTTGATACTGATGAACAAGGTTTACCTAAAAACATTGTTCATTCTATAGTTCCAGAATATAATTCATTAGTATTTTTTGAAGTTACAAACAATTCTTATCATCAAGTATCAGAAATATTAAAACCTAAAGCAAGATGTAGTATAAATGGATGGTTTCATGGATCTGTGGCGGATAGGGCAGAATTTAAGAGACCAGAAGAAATTGTATCTTTCATGGATCCTGAAATGACAGAGTGCGATTTAAGTTCATGGGTTTCCAAAATGTATTTGGATCCTCAAACCATTTGCGACATTCAAGAAGAAGTTGAAAATGACTCTAGCGCTCTTTTAAAAGATTTCATCAGTGACGCTATGTATAAAAAGTTATCTGAAGAAATTCAAGGAAACAGCATCAAATGGAAAATGGTTGGGCCACCAGATGTTCGAAGATATGAGGTTGCAGATGAAGATAGTTTACCAGAAAATTTAGCAAGTTTTATAAAATTAATAAAGTCTGTTACGTTTTGTCAATATCTAAAAAACTTAACTGAACTTGATTTGGTACCTGAAACAGACGAAATGAAACCAAAATTGAACTTTGAACTTCAAAGATGGTCGCATGGTTGTTATACTTTACTAAAAGATGAAAAATCAGAGGAAAAAAATGATAGTCTAGAAGATTCTAATAATGTAATTGAAATAGAATCTAATGAAAATATTTCATCTGACGAAGACGGAGACGGAGAAATAATAACTGCAGACAATATCGATCAATACTTATCGGATTCGGATCATGAAGAACCAGGGACGTCCGGGGAATATGAAGAAGAGAGCGAAAAAGGAGTGCTTGAGGTAATCCTTCAGTTTCACACCGAAAACTTCAAAAGTCAAAGCATTGCTTATGTCGATAAGACGGAAGAGGACGGTACAATTATGGAAATACCCTACAAAGACAATCACTTGTCTCTTGTATACATAACAGGAACTTCTCAGCGGCTTCAAAAATACATGAACCATACCGTTGAAGGTTACACATATTGTCTTATTTGTGCGTATATCGAATAAAACATTTACTTGTAACTATAAAAATCTATTGTTGATGTAAAATAATGCTCAAAGATATCGTTTTACCATGTATATAGTTGTAAATAAAAAAATTTCAGAAATTAAAAAATAATCAAGCACGTAAAATTTTTTAATTCATTTCTACAGCTAATTTGATATTTGAAATATTCGGATACTCATGCAAAAAAGTATTATTTTGTACATAAAAAATATTACGGTAATTTAAATTAATTCATTCGGTCGCTTATTCTCTTTAATATTTAAGAAGTTGAACCAAATTATGTAGCACGAATACAGTATTCCCATCAATTGAAAAAAATAAATGAAAAATACGAGCGTACTTTTATCCGGTGACGAAGGATCGATTCGACGGTTTCAATCAACTAGACTAATTAAAGGTTCATCGAAAATTCTTATCCGATTGAATTTATCGTTGATTCGAGTAACGGAAATTAGTCTCATCGGTTCGTCGTCCGAGTTGTGATTGAACTTCAATTTGAAAATTCGAATCAAGATCTTAAAGAATCATCATATCTCGTGAGTTACTACTAGTTTGACTGTTAATAACAGTCGAGAATAATGCAGTTTCATTTTTTCTCAAATTAAACACAGCACTAATGTTTTACGATTGATTATTGGCATATAAAGCGCATTGAGAAATATATGTTCCAACGTATACTAATGCAAAGTTCATTGCATTTATGTACTTCCTCTCAGTGGACTATGACAGTATAAGTAAGTATCATAAAAGATGCAACAAGGCCGGAAGATAATAAATATGTAGGCTGAGTTGTGTGTGTTTGCGGCTTGCGCATATTTTGTGTGCGAAGGTATAGAGACACACGCGTAAGCTTCCATTGAAGCAGTTCATAAATTGTTTTTCATGAATTTTAATGTCATTTTGGCGACGTATCACATCGCTACTCACTTTAACAAAATATTTCCTTTCATGCTCACAAGAAATTTTGGTAATCACATAGAGATTTAAGAAAGAAAGATAAAATAAACTAGTTATTTCCATAACAGTAAATGGAACATACATACAAAAAACATGTTAGTTTGCAATTGATATGCACAGTAAAAAGTCAAACAGTCAGTCATAGATCAGTACTGAAATAAGTTTTATAAAAATTGCATCGGCTTACGCTTGCTTTGATTGGCCTACATTCGGTTCTTCATTATTTCCCATGCTTGGCTTCGATACCGACTGCTGATTTTTAATATCTTCAGCTGCACTCGTGAGATCGTCGATTGATTCTTTCTGCATCAGTAAAGACAATTTACAATGAAGTAAAGCTTTTGAGAGTACTCATGTCCTGATAAAAGACATGCTCAAGTCTTAGCGTGCATTAAAAATTTGAGCGCGTTGCAAGATATAAGATTTTCCGTGCTCAGTATATGGTAGAAATATTAAAATCACGATCAGTCGAAAACGAGCATATTTGACGAAACTCGATCAAAGCGGCAAAGTAATTGTCTCGATAGATTCAGTCAGAGATCGCTCACCTCAGAATCGAGGGTTTTCTTGCGCAGCTCACTGAGCTCTAGTTCGCGCTCGAAATCAGCATCGATACGGGGACTTTGTAAATTTCGCTTCTGGCTCGGCTCGTCGCATTCCGGCTCGTCGATCGTGTCCGGCTCATCGTCCGTCCTCGAGTACTCGACTTGCAGCCAGGGGCAGATATTCGTCGTTGATCCCTTATTGTTGGTTGGTCGTGGCAAACGAGGCGACAAGCGCCTTAGCAACGACACGAGCTTGGACCTGAACGAACGACACACAAATGATGTTACCGAACGTCACTGCCGCTGAACGTATTATATTTTATTTTTAAAACAAAAATCATCCGATATCGCTATCGCAAAAATTAGCGATTCGTTCAAGAGAAAGCGACGAATTAGATATTTGGGAATGGAGTAAGATATTACTTGGCGTTCGGAGCATTTTTCGACAGCTGCTCGACACTTCGAGACGCCTTGCGAGTGTCCAAGCGAGTAGAGGTCCTATCCAAGCTGCGATTCATTCGCCAATCCAGACTGTTGCTCTGGCGGCCATGAAAAGCTAAAAAGCCAGTAGTAGTCACTGAAACGACCGACCGGTCGCGCTCCGAATGATTGATAAGTGCAGACTCAGCTTACCTTGCTCGTGGTAATTGCCAGCCGCGCTCTTCTGACCGCAGTAAATATTATCGCAGGACTTGGTCGCGAGGCCGCTCGAGTGATGTCCTCGCCGCCTCAGCAGTCTCGACACGGGCCCCAAATTCCTGCAATCAGCGAACAACGTGTGGTGGTGGTCGACCGATGCACTTAACGCACTTAGCGAACAGTCGCAGCTGTATATACGAACTTTTTGTACTTGCGTGAATCGGCGCTCTTGGGGATAATCTCGCGGGACGCTAGTCGCTTGTGGCAAGTAACGGCAGGATGACTGAGTTGGCTGCTCGGCTGCGGCTGTAGCGCTGCCAGCCCGGGGCAGTAGGTGCCGACGCGCACGTGGCTGTAGGCCGCCCGCAGCTGCACGCCGTCGAGGGGCCGAAAGCTCGCGCGCTCGATCGACGGCACTCGAACCACTTCGATCTTGGGACGCGCCTCCCGAGCCTCCTCCGTCGTCATTTTCCACGATTTTATTCAAAGTCTTTTTTTTCGGCCCTTGGAGTATTTCTTTTCATTCACATTATGTCCGCACTGCTGTTCGAATTATTTATTATCAGTCGAGCGCAGCCACACTGATAGACTTTTGTGAGCTGCATTCAGCGCACAGTTACATTTCACATCATTTCACACTAACGCGCAATGGTTGATCGTTAATTTGGCACGAAACTTTCAGTTATCCTCTCTGCATGCATCATCTGCAATAATGAGTACATTTTTTATGACATTTCAGTCTATTCCACTGAATTTGAAAAAAAATTTTTTAGCTTTTCACTCTTAGCTTATCATTTTATCGTCAAAATTGCTCTTTGCCTGTCATCATCCCAGAATTTAAAAATTATCAACCAAGTAAATAAACATTTAGAGCAAATAGATGATTTGATGCATCTAATGTACAAAAGAGATAAACAGGATATGTAATAATTTGAAAACCGGCCCTATAGCAATTCACGTGCAGTTTGAACGTCGACAACTGAATCAAGCTCATCTAGATGAATTTTATTATTGACTCATATGTTGCCTCTTGGCGAACAATTTCCCCGTGGAAACGACAATGTTTCATACTCATTATGTAATTAACTGCTCTAGAAAATTATTAGCGCGCGTCCTTCGTCGAGCTCGGGCTAGAAAATTTGTATAAGAAAAACAATATACATGGTATTAACATCTACAAGTTTTTCTACGAGTTAGCTGCAAGATATTTGAATTTTATAAATAAATCACGATGGCTTTTATAGGTACGGTCCAGTGAAGCATATGATCCGAAAATCGACTAGTAAGGTATTATTTATATCGAATGATTTCCAATATTTCTCAACAACGACGCGAGCTTATATAACTTTATAATGGCTAAAGTATATTGTGTCCTTAGGCGTTAATTAATGTTAGGAGTTCATCTCGATGTATGTAAATGGAACGATGGCATTTCTTAATGAGTAATATTGTTTCTCTGTAAAGCAATTGTTAATATGGGGCTGGAATCAAGTAGACGGCAGAAAATGACAAAAGAGCACTTGAAATTGAAAGTGAAGTTTGTTATTGGACGAGGATAAATCGAGCCGAGACAAAAGACCACTGCAGTTGAATGTCGGGTGTATCCGGCGTTAATCGGCCATTCAATACAAATTGAGCGCGTCAGGTGGAGTACGTGCGCAGTCGGGAGGGAGCATTAGGCACTTGGAATTAATTAGGCGCGAGCTCGGGAGAAGCAGCATCGACTCGCAAATCGACGCGTTGGCGTGTCGCAGCAGCTCCGCACACTCCGTTGCTGCTCGCGATGCAAATAATGCAACGCCTTTGACAAAAAAAAGCTCAATGACTAATTCATGAGCTTCGGTTTCTGATCCGAGTCCGCGAGCACGACGAATCCATACCAAAGCATCTCAGAGGTAGTACTCGACTCGAGCTATGCTCAATAAAAATAGAATATTTTCAATAAACTAATAAGCTTGTGGGGTCGCGTGTTTTGACGAGAGGCGATAAAGACGCGTTTCACGACGCCGAGGCTTTTCGGAAGGGGCGAATTTTCTCTCGCTCGCTTGAATCGGTGCGCTGTCGTAAGCAAAGAGAAAGAGAAAACACAGGAACCCACTAGTAAAGCGGCTCAATTGAGATAAAAGCTGCTAATGTAGGTCGAAAGTTGTTTCTTTCCATCGTCATGATCGCAGTATGCGCGCATAATGTATACATCGCGCAGTTCATGCATGTGTACGTGTTCATGAAGAAGCCTATTGTACCGGAGAAGTCAGTGGTGGGTAGCTGAGCCGCCTAGACGCGTTCCAGGCTCGAGCGATGTAGCCACGAGTAATGCATAAGTTTAAAAATATACGATCTAAATTTCTCGCGCTCTCACCGTCCGTTAATCGATAATTTATAACGCTTTGCTCGTCCCTATTAAGGCGACGCACAATAAAGTGTCACCGATAGCTCGTGCAGCGATCTTTATGCAGAAAAAGTCTCCAACTATCGAGCACGTGACAAAAAGTCCCAACTCTCTCGACTAGGTGTGGTCTTTCGCGCGCACTTCTCACTCTGTCTTGCTAGATAAAATACCCGAGCGCTGAAAAAATGCTCGCAGCTAGTCGAGTGAGCGGCTCGTTGCCGCGAGCGATCCATAGTACACACATTGGCTTTAACGATGTCTACAAGAACATAACGACCGAGCTTGTCTGCTTGCAAAATTCTTCGCGACGAATTAAGTCATTGAGACTGCATGCCGACGCGATTATTATACGACTACATATTCGTTTCACTCAGACTTCCGACGTTCGACTGCTCTACTGCTGCAGCTTTTTACGCTGAAACGCAGATTCTAGGCTGTAAATAGCCAACTTTTCAATTGATTAGTAATTAGCTTGATTAGGTTATTGCATAAAAATTAATTAGACATCTGTCTATCGAGAAACTGAGATTCATCGATACTTGCTCAAAGTTTCAGAAATTTCATTCGAGTTATAAAAATTAGTCAATGCAAAGTTACATATTCTTCTTATAAATATCAACTTCAAGTTTTCTCTTACATGTATCTTAAGTCTATTAAAAGTTATAGATAAAAATGATAATCTTTGAAAAATTAATTAAAATTCATCAGAACTTGATGCAATTAATAAAAATGATTTAAATGGCAAAACATGAGCGTAGGACACTCTCGAATTAAACTAGTTGAAAGAGTACATTTAACGAATATTGGCATGAAGTAACGTTGCATGATTATGAGTCTTGTTACGTGTGAAAATTTCATTTGCACAGCACGTATTTCTCCGCATATTCAAGTGTGTACGGCATTTTATGCATCGAAAAAATAATAATACTATTTTTAAAAATTTCCACATTATCAAAACTTCCATAAAAATATCAACAATTAAACATTTTTCTTTGTTGTTTGTTAGTGCAAACGACATATCTATCGCACTATACGGACACACGTTTGCAATAAAAATCCCCTCGGGCAGTAAAAGAGATAGACGCAGGTAGGAACTGTTCAAAATGACATCACAGCTCTAGATAAATATGCGGCAATACTAATAAAGATAATTTCTATTCAAAGAGTAATATTTCGAACTGATAAATCAAACTTTACTGAGTCGAAAAAAGCTACTTCACATTTCGAGTAGTTTCAAAAAATTAAAGTTATCGTTTATCAGACAACACTAAGTCTATGTAAGAAGAATGTAATCAGCTTATCCGTTTTTAAATCTATTTATTATTATATTCACTTGAGTGATGAGTGCTTTCGATTCAACACTGAAGACGTGTTTTTGTCAAACCTAGGGCCACTCATGGTTTGAAGATAAAGAATATCTTTAACAGTGTCATATGAATTATTAATTTATAAATTGAAGTTTTAATTTAAATAACTGATTTTTTTATTACGTAGACTACTGAAAAAGTCAATTCACAATTATATGCGTAACAATCTACGCATGCACATTACATTTCAATGAGCGATTTTCATCATTCGAACAACATACTTACGTGCTTACAAAAATTTACAGCGAGTAAGAAATCAACATTGGCTAGCAAATATTTAACGAACAATTAGCGCTGTGCTAGCATCTCAAAAGGCGAGTCTCGTGTAATTTAGAACTAGAAATTTTGTGAAAGATAAGCTGAGTTGCAGGGCGAAAAGCTCGAGCTTTCGTTTGGGAGGCATCGTGGCACCTAGCTACTGATCATTGCATTTCAATACGTACAATTTGTAAACAGCCACGAGGCGCTGAGTTCGTTGCTGGCGCCGCTCATGCGGCAGCCTGCTCTGACATAACAGCCGTTGCAGTCGAGATCGAGGCCGTCGACTCTCGTCGCGGCAACGTGTCATCTGTTCGACTCTCTGAGCTTTCGAGTTCATGCTGCAGGTGTGTTGACCGAGCCGTCTATTGGCTTACGCGACTGAACCCCGTGTAATTCCTAAACGAGCAGTTGATTTTTTCCATTGACAATAATATCGCTGGGCTGGAAGCTGCTCGAATCTTTTCAAAGTTTTCTTCGCGAGCTTGCGAAAAACGGTAAGATTTACACTGGTTTTTGACTGAAAACTATCGAGGGAAACGAATATTCATTTTTTCGTCAATTTCGATCGCACACTTGACTTTTTACACTTTTTATGCACTACGCGTAAATTTGATTCGCGCATCAGACATCCGATATGAATGTGCGAGTATAAATGCATACACTCGTATGCATAGCCGAGCTCGTTGGCTTTCCAATGATACGAACAAGAGGCGTTGCACTCGAGTCGAGCTTTTACCTGAAAGATGCGAGCTCGTTTTGTTGTGCAAGAAAAAAAACTGCTGCGACTCTCGGATTGCAAACGTTACCAAGTGCGAAACCATACAAAATAAAAAAAAAGACATACGTCAGCGCGAGTATTATTGAACTGCTCGAAATAATATCCGACTCACGCCGCGTAAAAACGAGTAAAGCAAATTTTCGATAGATTAGAGTAATTGTCCTTCCAAGTGGCTCGACTCGATAGACAAGAAAATTTAAGTCACTCTGGACTTTATTGAACAAACAAAGCAATCGGGCCGGATAAAGGCCGCTTCGATTTGGCAGCTTGAACTTTGCAGAAAATCCAGCGCAAACTACAGTCCCGACGAGTCATGCAAATGCTCGGTATATTTGATTCGTGCACTGCACGCGCCCGAGTTATGCGGCGCAGGCATGCGAAGGAGCACCGCAACAAAACTTATAGGCTGCGCAGCTATCTCGTGCCGACTCGGAAAAGTTGGCCCAACGATCAGCCAGGAGAAACGCCCTTGAGGTTCTTGGAGAAAAGCCGGCGATCGATTCCTGAGGGACACGTGAGTCTTTGGTGCGTGAAAAGGATAGCGCGTGACTCGCTCGCAAAAAGGGCAGAAAAGAACGAATGGTGCGGGAAAGAGAAACAAAAGGGCTATTCACGATCGAGCGTACAGCTAGTGGTGTATCGCAGTATCCGTCGAGTCGCCCGAGCGAACTGATATACTTTTTTTGCTCGCGCTGCAATTTCGCTCCGCTGGACGCGCGCGTGCCGAAGGCCAGCGATACCGCGACTCGACCGCGCTCGCTCCCGGCAACTGCCGCCTCTACCTGCGTACAAAAACTACCTGGGACATTTAGCGCGCGGCGCAGTCCTAGCCACTCGGTGCACTTGACTCAAAATGCGAAGCAGATAAACGGCCACTGATCTCTCGAGCCTTTCCCACTTGCAGCTGAAGGATGAGTTCTGACAATTGCACTACGACCGTTGCTTATCTAGACCGGCGCGGGATATCGACAGCTGTATATTCTTACGGAATTGTGCAGCTACGCGCGAGTATCAGTTATCACGAAGCCGGTCTCGCGGCTCATGGATGCTGCACATCGACTGGCAGCGACTGTCCGGACACGAGTACTCGTTGCTCCTATCGCTAGCAGCGGTAGCGGCTCATCTCTTCCTCCTCTTCCACCTCCTCCTCTGCTGCTACGGCTGCTGCTGCTGACTCCGCTGATGCCGCAGTACCTCCTCATAGCTCAAATGCTCACTCGTAGACCTGCGCACTTTTGCTCGCTGCACCCATGTAATTCATGCAAATAATTTAATCAACAAAAGCACGCCTCGTTATTTGTTTTTTAAATTCATCGTACAAGAGATTTAGTCGCATTGTAGAATCTAGATTTTACTCATCAATTCGTCCTTGAAATAATAATCGAAAAACGGAATTTTTAACAAATTTCGACTGGATACGGATTAAAGTTGAATATAATAGCGGAGATGCGCTTCAATAATCTGTAAAGAAAGTCAATTCTCTTGGTCTCTATCGTCAGTACTACTACATACGAGGACGCATTTAATACTTGACACACACGTCATGTGCGGTAGAGGAATCATCTATTTCCTGCCTCTCCCTATTTTACTTTATTAAATGAGAACATTCAAAAAAAGTTTATAATTAGTCATTTGTTGCTTCTATGTACCTATGATTCATGCATTATATTACCGAGGATATATTTAATTCAACTTTGAATTTTTACTGAAAAAATCCATTTAATTATAAAATCCACTTTAAAATAACTATATTTTAAAGTCCTAAACATTCGGTAAACAAAATTCACGAAACAAAGAAGTAAATCGTGTAAATAAAGAAAAAATTATGCATGAAAAGTGATTTTAAGGATTTTATACTGAAAAGTAAAATTTTAAATTTGTATAATTGGTAATTTTTGTTTCATACAATTGATAAATTATGTAAACTGTTAGAGTAACAACTTCGCATTTATTAATGAATATTTCTTTAAATGAATGTACCAAAATTCTCCTATAAATCAATATAAATGAATTATAAAAAGTTTACCAAAATTTTAGAAGGATGTAAAAAGAAAAAATACTTAGAATGTTTTATGTTATGAAATAATTTTATTTTCATTACACAACAATTATACATATAACGTAATTTAAAATATTTTCAAGTTTGATAAAAAAGAATTATTTCTTTTTTTCACAAAACTATTTAAAATTAAAATGAATTTTAAGGGATAACGATGCATTTCTAATGAATGCATGGTATGGCAGCGAAGCAAGAGTAGTTTTTCTGTCAACATGCACAAGACTCTCACAATGTTTGTAACAGCTGAAAGCGAACCATAATGACTGTCTTTGTATATTTAATAATCAAAGAAGTTTAATATGTGCTGTCAAGAGAAACGTAAATCGTGTTTGGTTTGTAGAAGTTATTTGTAACGCCATCTCCACGAGAATTTTCATAGAATCAATTTATTCTCTATCAAAGTCACTGAAAAAAATACTCCATTTTTTCTGCTCTCTTACTATTACATTGATGCATCTGCTTTATTTTTTTATATTTTCATTCAACTTTTAAATACTTAATTTTATTTATTACATTTAAATTTTACATTGTTGTTTTATTTATTCTTTCTTACCATAGCTCATTTTCGATCATTTATCGACATTTTATATTGACTCACTCTTACGTTCTCTTTTTAAATTGTATCCTTCTCGTATCACGATTTCTTCAATAATTATTCTCATGAGGAATCCACCTACAAATCAACTACGTACTTAAGGATTCATTATAATTATTATAAAATACATTAGTTTACATTTACAAACAACGTGAATTTTCAAGCGTCGACGTCCTGCAAACTTTTGTGAAAATTTTCGCGATACGCGAAAATGCAAAGTCGAGCAAATGATTTTTGTTTGTATTGTCTTTAATAACTCTGTGTTCTGCATATTACAAAGATATTTGTGGGTAGAGAGTGATCTTTGAATGTTTGATTATATTTTTCAAAATTTATTGAATTTCTGAATGGTCATATGTGTAAAATCTTAGATATTCTGAAAAAATCGAAAAGTTTTCTTGAAATAAAATTACTAATTATTTATTTTTCTATTATAATGCATCTACACTATGCGTTTACTTGTACAAGTAATAACATTGGCCGTAAGTTTATTTAACTACAATTCAAAATCGATAACTCTGCTCCCTTGACTACTTAAGGATTCATCCTGTAAATTTTCATCATAATTTTTCAGGACGATTAGCAGGCACGTCGATAATTAGAATAATATTTTTATATTGACGCTCTAAATACATATTTACAAAACCTCAGACAATGAGGCAGACTTCTTTCTACTGATTAATTTATTAATACATAAACTGAATCCGAAAAGCGCATTATCACTTAAGATTTTCATTAATTATTTATTACTATTTATTTAAAATTAACAACACCTGCCATCAGCATTGCTCCGAGTTATTCGCTTTTTAAGAAACAATTTTCTGCAGACATTTCTTGAGAAAAAAATTTGCTTAACGCTCTACGATTTGATTATTAAAAGCATAAAAGAATTCTAGAGGTGATCTTGAAAATTCTTTACATTTTAAAATGTGAATTATGAAAAATAATCAGGTCAAAAATCTATGCGCATGGAAAAATATTATATTGTAAACTTTTTATCAAGTCGATGGCTACTTTAATCGAGTATATTATTTTTATGACATTAAATCAGCTCTTATGAACTAGAATTTCTTTTATTACCATTAATGGACTACTGTTTTATAACTATATTTTTTTAATGTTCTTTTTGATATTTTGTACTCAAGGTTTTATTTTTAACGCCATTTACAGCTCCAACAATTTTAATTATATTCATAATACTTTTTATTTAAAACATTTGGCACTGCAACATTAATATCTTAATTATATGTCATGAAACAATTACTTTTCATAATTCATCATAAATAATCATTAGTAAACTTGTTAACAAATCATTGTAGTCCCGTTAAAGACTAGCGCGAATCTCGGATAACTTTGCATTAAGGCGAGAACAATTCAACAAAGTTTTGGCTTTTTCGAATAGCCAAATCGTTTAAAGTCCCAACAAATAATAAAGAAAATGATTTCTTTGCATTATACGAAAACGCAATTGTTTTAAAATTATTCTTACATCACTTTGATTCCTATAACTTCACTTTATACAGTTATTATTAAAATCAAAAGAAAAAAGGGTAGAACAAAAACCTAGATGCAGGCGCAACGTTCTAGACGTACAACCTGCAAGATCACGTACATTTGAAGGCAATTGTCAGATTCAAGCAGTAGAATTTAATGAGTTGATACTACGAGTTATCATTATTTTGACGGTCTAGACGAATTCAAAATATAAATCGTCTAAAAAATCATTGAATTTTCTGACACTAGACTTCTAAGTATCCAGGTTTTTTCACGTCCCTACGTATTCCTATAAAAATAAAATAATTTATTTACACCATGTTTAGTAAAAAGACTATTATCTTTGTCAGAAATCTTTGAAAAAGCTTACTTTGAAATAACTTTTTCCATAATCATAGATAATCGAGCATCAGAGTGATTAGTCGGAAGAAGCGATTTAAGAATTTCTTTTACAAGATTTTCGCTCATTCCTGGTGAAGTTCGCTCGGCAATTTCGAAGGCACCTCTGAGTTCATCCAGCGCCGCATTGTGTCGACTGACATTGCCACTTTCGCCATTGTCTCTGGCAGCGTATTGATATTTACGTTGCATCTGCAAATTAATAAAATTTATTTATGAAAAAATCAATTAAAAAATATAATTTTCTACTCTTGCAATTTAACAATGCAACATGAGAACCTTTGATAAGGTAGTAAATTGTTCAAGTGCATGAATAAAAATTTATAAAATTTTATAATTAGTGCCAAAACTTACATCAGACAGAAGCGGGAAAATGACACCATTTAGAACAATACTTGGCGAATGTTTTTGGTCCTGTGAGCTTCTTGGTCGCTGTGATTTTTCATCCGAGGACGAGCTATGGTCGTGTCCTATCAGTATTTCAGATTTGGTTTTCCGATCTCGTTGTTCTCTCTCCTCGTTTTCGTGACCCGTACTTCGGCGATGCTCTCTTGCACTTCCTGGATCGGTTCTCCTTTTGTATTCTCTTCCAGAATCGTGATATTCTCGAGTTTCTCTTGTTTCAACAGCAGATGTCGGTTTTGGTGATCCGTCATGTGATCGAGACTAGAAAAAAGTAAAATATATTATGCAAGCTCGTCTTAATTTAAATCTAGAAATAATAGACTTACAGGTGTGTGTTTATTTTGTGCATTACGCGAAGTTTCCCTCGAATCACTTTTAGCTGGTCTGGGATTTGAGTTTTCTTTCAAAACAATAATCCTTTTTCCATTTGAATGAGGCTTAGATGGTTGCTGCTGTTGTTGCAATTGTTGTTGTTGCTGCTGTTGTTGCTGTTGCTGTTGTTGTTTTTGTTGTTGCTGCTGTTGTTGCTGTTGTTGTTGCTGTTGCTGTTGTTGTTGCTGTTGTTGTTGTTGTTGTTGTTGTTGTTGTTGTTGTTGTTGTTGTTGTTGTTGCTGCTGTTGCTGTTGTTGCTGTGGTACAAGTATTTGTTGCTGATTGTCTTGAGGCCTATGGTTTGTAGTATGGCTAGAGTTGAGTGGTGCCGACTGCTGTGAAGGTTGCTGTTCCTCGCGGGACATCATGGAAACGATCGAAGATCCTTTGACTCCATGTGGACCCTTTACCGTCATTATCCATGGCTCGTCCATATCGCTGTCTTGTCTAGACTCCTCTCTAAATGAATGAAATGTTAAGTTTGAATTACTGCATACAAATAGAGATACAAAATAGCAATATTACATTAATTTAAAAAAAATATTAAATGTTACTTACGAATCTGAATTCTCACTTTCTGTCTCGGACTCTTCGTTTCTCTGAGACTTCCATTTTTTATATCTGTCAATCAAGTCAATTAGATATGAGTTTTTTTTGGCTTTTCTGATAAACTGGAACTTCAGCAATTCTTTCGCAGTCGGTCTCTGTAATGAAACAAAAAGATATTTATATCAAAATGATGTTACATTTGTTATCTTATTAAATAAATTTGAATGATTGTAATACAATGCAAAAGAAAAGCGTGCAACTTAAATAATTTCAAAAGTTCAGATCCTAATCGTCTATTCGTAAACTAATAGAAAAATTCTATAATTTAAAAATATGCATTTTAGATAAAACATTATTAATTTTTAAATATAAAATATAAATAAATTTAACATAAAAATTATAATAATAGAAAGAATATACAAACATTTTCGGGATCTTTATTGAGACAGGCTTCTACAAATTCCTTGAACTGTTTAGTGTAATTGCCTGTTAGTTGAGGTGGATTGTTCTTCGGAATAAGGAAGAGAACCCTCATAGGATGCAATTCGCTGTTTGGCGGCTCACCTTTTGCCAGTTCGATGGCTGTGATTCCAAGCGACCAAATATCCGCCTGAAAATAATGAAAAAGATGATCCGAATATTCTGTAACATTTTACCACCGAGTCACTGATTACAGCTACATACTCTACTCTTTATCATTTATTGCAAAGAATTTATTTTTCCTTTAATATTATACAAAAAGACGTGAAAAAAATTAAAAATCTCTGAGAAATGTATTTTTGTTCCAAAAAAACTAAATCCCTTTGTAAAAAGTTTTGTTTTATTTTTTCTTTCGCATCGATCTCGAAGCCATTCTAAAATTTGTTTCAAGACATTTTCAAAAGACCCACAATGTTTATCTAACGCATGAAATTATTACAGCACTGAGTCAATAATAAAAAATGTTTTCAGAACTCCATTTGATCTATTTTATCTATGTAAAATCGAATGTTAATTTGTAAGAACACTTTTAATCTAGTGGACGTGCGTAAAAAAAGAATATGGCAAGAAAAGTACCTTGGAGTCGTAGGCGGATTGTTTGATAACTTCCGGCGCCATCCAGAACGGTGTACCGACGAATGTGTCACGCTTGCTCGTCGTGTTTGTCAGTTGTCCTGCGACGCCGAAATCCGCAAGTTTCACGTCGCCCATCTCGCTCAGCAGAACATTTGCCGCTGCAATGAGTAATACCGAGAATAAAATTAGATACGACTGCACGAGCTCTCATTATTCTAGAAAGCATCAAAAACATGGACTTTCTAGAAGTGCATCAATTGCATTTAGGTCGATATAATACACATGAATTCTTCAAAATATTTATGTCACTATAATAACCTTTAATGTCTCGATGTAGCTTTCGTTCGCTGTGTAAATAATCGAGACCTTTGAGGACTTCTCTTAAAATGACGGCGATGTGCATTTCCTCAAAGCTTCCAGCTCTCATCAAGTCCAAGGCTGAGCCTCCGCCCAAATACTCCATAATAATCCATAGTTTTGTTCCCTGTAAGAAATGATATCACCATTAAATAAATTTCATATGAATGCATTTTCTAATGATTATTTATTATGTGATTATAAAACGTTATTATTACGTTAATAACATTTTATCATTATAGTGAATTTACATGAACATAATTGGAAAAACTTCGAGAGCAAGCAAGAAAATCTTTGGGTGTAACTGATATACCCCGACAAAAGAAGGCTCTAATCATAGGGTAGTCGGACCAATCAATGACCGGGTACCAGTGAATTAACATTTTGAAAAATATGATTTGAAAAATAATTAAAAATATATTTGTATGGTCGTTATTCAATTCTTCAGCGAACGAAGTATCTTGCTTTCTATGTCCAATTATCATATAACAAGAAAAAATAATGATTATTGCACATCCGAAAGTGGTCATTTACTGGTTGAAAGCGGTCAATCACTAGTCCAAGTACCCTGTTCTTTTGTTTAAAAATTAAAAAAATTTTTTTTTCGTATAAAGGGGACAATTAAAAATCACTGCTTTGCCATACTTTAAATTTACCGCTGACATGATAAATCTTTTAATTTACTCTATTTAGTAATGTTGGTGGTTTTTACTGTGTCAACGGTGTTAATTTGAATGTCTACTGAACATTCGAAGATTCAATTTCGTTTATCCTTCATTTCAAGAAAATTTTCAAGAATATGATAATTCTCAGTACTCAAGTCCTACAAGGGATATCAATAATGGAATGATTATTATTAATCGATAAGGGAGAGAAAAAAAATACTACATACGAGTAACAGGCTAAGGACGTATGAAAGTGTATTCATCACCTACATTTTTGCACGTTATAAGCATGTTTTTTTATGTTGATTTAGAGCATGGAATATTTTTCGATTTTTCTTCCTTTGTTTGAAATTTTTGCCGTTACTTCTAAGAAAAAGAAGATTCATCAACGGCATCTGGACTTTTGTTTTATGGCGATATTAACCAGTATACATGGCACCGAAGCTGCTATTGCTTATACTATATACTATTATAAAATAACCAAGTCAGACTAATAAATCATTATGAAAGCTATCAAAAAATCTGTAGTAAAGCTTCAACTTTTGTTGTAATTATATCAATTTTATGCTACGTTACTTATTACTACACATTACATATTACTTTCACTAATTACCGTTCTCGTATTGATGAAAAGGATTAATTTTTTCTTATTTTATATATTCACAAATTCAAGTACATGATGATTTAAAAAAAAATAGTAATAATTGTGTGAAATTCCAAATGACAAACTCGTATACACAAGGTACAGACCAAAATTCTATCTTATTATTATATTTTTACGATCCAATTTTGCATTTCAGACAATAGTTCATTTTAAGTTTTTTAATATTCATCTTGACATCTTTTTAGTCACCTAAATATTGCAAAACATTTCTCGAGCAGTGAAGCTTTCATATGAATATTGTTTTGGATAGTGACGTCCAGTGAAGCAAAGCACCAATCGAGTCTACAGTAGATCCGTGTACCATACAGTTTGCGGAGAGAATAGTTTATCTACCACATAATATATATTATCTATAGATGCACTCACGGTGTAGCTCTGAAAGTTCATTCGCTGTGTCTTTTTACCATATACGGCGAAGCAGAGCAGTCAGTTGGCCCGATGCGCGGATAAAAGCTACTATAAACGAGCATTCATACTGAGAGATCTTTGCTTTCGGAGCGATGTTCTCACGACGGGTTGTACATGGCTTTTGTTGTTGGCTGTGATCGTGAAAGTATCGTAAGAAAAACGCGGGCCCTTATTTTTCAGTTCGCGAGGGTGCGCTCGCTCTGGCTGCTGCTTTTCATATTTCCAGTGTAAATACGTTTCAAGTTAAAAACCTTAGCCGAGTGTGTAATGCGAAATATTCCAAGTACTCTCACCGTCAATGTTTTTTATTTTTTACATTTTTTCCCGATAAGCTGAGAAAAAAGTTGGTCGATCAATGATATCAGCTACTCTGTACAGATCTTGATTCAAGGCCACAAAAGCAATCGAAGCTTACTACCGAGTTTTATTATAAATGCAAGTTTATATTGTTTACCGGCTAGGTCATGCGTGTGCTTTATAACCTTTTGCAACTAGGTCTTTCAATAACTAGTTTATTACATGAATAAAATGGATGATCTCCTTTTACTTGTCAGGTATTTGATAATTTCAACCATTTTATTATATTATATGAAATAGATAGTAAAAGAATAAGAATTTTAAATATTTTGAAATATTTTGATAATTCAAATTTGACAATGTATGATACTTGTTCAAGTACAGTTAATTTAAGTCGGCTTCAACGATGTTTGCATTATAAGTTATAACATTTCGAAATGTTCTTTAACATTCTTTTTTTTAACATAAAAAGAATAATTCTTGAGTTGCCTTTACTAATGCAATGCAGTGTGAAGTGCGACTTTTAAGGTTTGCTCAAGATTCCGACTATGAACTTAAAGGTGACTTTGCTTGTGATTACCATTATAAGGATAGTAAATATTGCCTATCCTTTATTTTTATAATAAAAATAAACACACGAAATAAAAAAAAAGGCAGACTGACTGTATTAAGGCAACATTTTTTCACTTCTTTACTGAAGTGGAATAAGATTACGAAACTATTGTGCATATACAGCTATTTCCACGATGTATGCATGACATTGAATAAAAAAATAACTTGTTAAATATATTTGGCAAAATAATTTCTGCATTCAATCTTTGTGTCGTATAAAAAATAAACAATGATTATTTACGATGGTTGAGTTCACTTCTTGTTCAGTTTATTTGTCAGGATAAAAAGTTGCAGAAGTCGAGCAAAAGAGTATAAGAAAGCAAGCTTGAAAAATAAATAGAAAAATTCACCCTTGCAAGTTATCGCAAGTAACGAATGGGGTGGTTGTCTGTAACACAGGTTGGCTTCTATGCCCCCTTCAATATGTGAAGCTTTTTTCGCTTCAATATGGTCGCAATGGCTTTGACATAGACAGATGACTAGTCGGAATGAACTCTTAAATTTGTAATGTTATCAAGATTGTTCAGGTCATCTAAATATACGTTGATATGCCATGATTTCCGAGTATAACTAAAAGGGTAAAAATTAATCGTAACTGAAGGATTAAAATTTCATTTTTTTGGAGTCCACGTAGGAAAAAATTCTATTCATCAATTATGAGATACGAGATTTGAAAGATTCATAGATTATAGATTGTAAGATTTTGAATCTACTATTTTTCTCTTACCAATGACCCATTTGATCTATCAATCAATTTACATGTTAAATGAAAAGTTCGAACCACTATATGTTTTTATAATTATGACTCAAATTTGATTCCTAAAAAAGCAATAATAACTTACCTGTGAAAGAATCAAAGAAAATTATGATTTGGGCAATCTAAACAAGTAAGATAGACAAACTGGAAAGGATTAATGACTATTAAAGATTTACGTAAGTAGGTGGTTTAATGTGTCAAGTGTGGTCAAACGTCTCGTGAGAATGCATAGGTCATGAATAGTCTCTAGTTTCTATACACTCGAGACAATGCTATAAAATAACATGTGCTAGTGCAGTAACAGACATATATCAAGAGAGTTCATTATTATTAGGAAAGTCCGATGCAAAATAAAGAGAATGATTGATACGTACAGGTAAAATTAGAACTTAGTTCAATTACAGATCGATTCCAAGCAGTTTCGCGAGACCCCATATGATGCCTGTAATCTATCTCGTCAAAAAGATTTATTGCCCACAATAAACAAGGCAATTATCGGTTATAAATTTACAATCGTTGTTGTTTGAGGAGCATACGGCTAAATGTACTAAGTACCGATGATTTAATAGTATATTTCTCAACGGGTGCACATTCATTGTTAAAAAACCATATCTGCACCAGTTGATGATACTATTTTTTCCTACGAGAGCCTAAAATTAGCGGCCAAGTTGCGTATTTTAGGTTAGAGTGGGAAAAAAATATTTTTGAGACTCAAAGCCATGATTTTCTCAGATTGATGTGTCGATACTTGCATGTAGCTTATATTTGACGCCGTTTGAGACTGATGATCGAATTTAAAAAACGAATGTAATTTAAAATGTTTCATTTCTGAGTTTAGTGTAAAAATGGTTAAAACAGCCAACTGAATTTTGTTGTATAAAATTTATAAAATAAAGTTGATGCTAAGCTTATAAAAAGAATAAAAATGTATCTACTTAAGAAACTGTTTAAATATATGCTGCAACTCTAACATTAAAATTCGAAATAATAATTCTTAAATATTTCCAAGCGGATAAAAATCCCGCATTCGTGTGTAAAGATAAAAAGAAATGTCATATTCAAGAAGCTTAAGAAACTATAATCGGCTTAAGAGTCGCAAGAGTCAGTCATATACTATTCAATGCATATCTAAAGAATCGTGTGATCAGATAAAATATACAAAAACATATCTAAGTTTGAAATAAATCATAATTTACTTTTACTACAGGAACTGAAAGAGCTAGCTAGAGAAAGATCAAGTACCTATAATAAATCCCAAAGACCTGGGATGATTAAGAACTTGATAGGTCTGTAGAATTATTCATGATAAGCTCTACCACAAGCGTTGGTCAATTCAAAATGTTCGTCATTCGTTGCTAATTACAATGTACTCCTGCCAATACTTTTATCTTTTCTTTATAATAAAACTTCTCTTATGTTCATATGCAAGAATTGAAAAAATTAGAATAATGTAAGCATTGGACCAGAAGCTGTAACAGAAGAACATAAGAACAAGACGGTGGGGTTTTCATACCAGGCAATTAAATAATAATTGGTAACTTTCTAGCGAGCTAGCTAGACTAGCTAAATGCAAGCCTCGTCGTATTCCATGTACTGTTTGCAACGTTTGCTATAGCTGGCCGTTCTCTTCAAATAATAATACTTTGAGCATTTGTAAAAAGAAAGAAAGGTACGTAGGAGTACGGCTCAAAGGCAGTAGTAGGCTTAGAAGAAAGGCGTTGAGTAATAGCTAGGCGCGCCTGCGTGACATTATTGTACACAGAACCATAGGATCGCTCTCTCGAGTCTTCTGCAATTTGCAAGAAGACGCAGGCGGTGGGTTGCACACAAAAGGAACGTCTTCGTTATTGCTGTCATCGATGTTTTATATCATCATTCGAGATGTTCGTCGAGCATCGAGTACGACAAGGAGAAATGAGGAATGACGTCATGAGTGCTGGCGGCGGCTGCATTAGCTACCACGTATATAGGTATTTGTGCAGTGCAGCTGTACATAACATCCGCAGTGTCATCGCATCGTGCTCACCGCTCGTTGCTTCACAATAATATTGCCATTGTTTCGCCATAGTCAAGCGTACGTTGTCTACCCGGGCAGTATCGTCCAAATTGCTCACCGGCGCGACGAGCTGCAGCCATTTGTGGCGCTTGTAGGCTCAATAATACTAATCCATACGTCTCTGCAGCTGCTTTCCCGAAAAAAATCGACTGCCTCGGGTATTGATTACTCATTAATTTTCTCTGCATGAGTACATTGTGACTAAACAACTTTTGAAAAAAAATCACCGATTTGAATCTTATGTTAGTTGGGTTATTGATATGGTAAGATCCATGTACATACTTTATTAGCGACATCCTCAAGTACTTGAAAAAAGCAATTTAAGTGAACCCCTAAATAATTGCTGTCAGTTCATTTACAGCAATTTTCTTTTAAATGCTTTCTATCATTTTTAAATAGTCAATGAAGCAATTTCATCTGTTAAGCCTAAAAAGGTAAAGGAAGATAGAGTTCACCTATTTCCCAACTTTTATAGTACAGATAACCCAAATTAACAATTAGGATTCATATTCACTTTTTAAGCTATAATTTATGAAATGGTCTTGAGTAAAGTCGAAATCGATGGAGTTTGCAATTACATAAAGAACTTCGCAAGATTCGTAATGCACACTCAGAACAAACTAGAATGACAAATGAACAAGTCCTTTGAAACAAGGATTGCGCTAAGTCTTGTTTTCTTTAGATACAATAGAACGTCCACCTACGATCATTTTTATGCACGAATTATACGAGAAAGATTTGAGAAAACTAACAAAAGAAACAATCACGCTATTTTCTATATGAAAGATTCGAGGAGTAGTCTATGAGCATTTTTACTTCAAACATTGTGACATTATCACAACGTGTATAAAAGTAGATTTACAATAAATAAAAGTTTATTAAATAATTATTTTTCGTCGTGCCAAGGTATGAAGAAAAATCTTATACACAACACGGGAGAAAGGAGAGAATGTCTCAGATTACATGTATCCCTCGGATTCATCTTAGGTGACAATTACGTGTGATCTGAGACATTCTTTACTTTTCCTCCCTTGTTGTCTAATATACTAATTATATTTTCTCCAAGTATGAATGTGGCCCCAATCCATTTTATTGTTTCAAGAAATTTTGATTATTTAAAAGTACTGAGTTTTATAAGTTATCTCAATTTTCAAAGGTTAAAAATCGTTGCAAAAAGTAAAAGCCGACCTACCTTAAGATAAGATCCAAAATATTTGGTGACGAAGGGACTGTCACATTGTGACAGAACCATAATTTCTTGTTGGATGTCTTCGATTTCATCTTCGGCTTCTTCAAGATCGATGATTTTGATTGCGACAACTTGCTGCGTTCGGTTATCAATACCTTTAAATACCTCCCCAAAGCTTCCTTTGCCAATTCGTTCCTGTTTTGTAAATATAAGCTCGGGATCTACCTTCTGCAAATAAACAACAAAAACGAAAATGTAAGTGTATTTAGTATGATTTAACATAATTACTATATTTCATAAGAGGTAAAATCGAGATCTAAGTAAAATTGTTGGAGGGGGGAGGAGGGTATAATCACGAACATTAAATTAAGTATTCCTTGAGAAATGAGTTCACGAAAGCACTATTGATATTATGCCTTTCTTCCACCTTGATATCTCTTGTTATTATTGCTTTATAAATGCACCAAAAAACATTGAATGCTTAATTTAAATACGCTGATACATTTTACGTTGACCTTAACCTAAGATTGCAAACTTTGCGCGTGGCATTTGGGGACGTAACACTTGATCGAATATATACTAAGCTTAAAAATTGACACTTCGGTTAGTACTTGATTGTTATTCAGCGTGTACTCGATCAATTTTCTGACAAATAAACTAGTAACATTGATGTCACATCGATGTAAAATGGTCATACTTTACTGTAGCTTTTTTGTAAAGAAACTTAGAGATAGTGAATCTCGGGCTTGATTTGAGAACAACGATTAAAGACTCTGAACGTCACTGAACATGATGTATTGATCGACATACTTTTCTATTTCCTCAGAATAAGCAATGAATTTCAGATAAACCACGTTGTTTTATTTTATAACAAAATAATAAAACATTTACAATTTAGTCAGGCTCTGCATTAATATGCAACTTTTATTTCTGATACTATGAATGTAAAAGCACCTACCAACTACACAGAAAGATTACTTTTTCTATGATGTGCTATTTGATGATGATATGTGTTATTTTATCGTACGTTATTTCATCAAGTTTCACAGGGGGTAGAAAATACCGAAACTTTGGATATCTTTGGCACAAGTTACCTTACACATATTGTGTATATTAAATACCTATTAAATCGATAGTAAAAAAATCGATTATAATTCTTTGGAAAATTTTGTTCGATGTTTTCTCTGTTAACAAACATGCATTCCCTCTTCTGAGCGGAAAACTAAATTTAGATCAATAAATCAATAAAGCAAATTAAGGGAAGAAATGTTCCCTGGAGTCTCGTGACAGCCTTATCGAATCGAATGTTTTGATTACTTATCAATACCATGTAGGATAAAAAGTAATAATATACATCTGCTCAGCGTACATATGTGTGGTCTATATTTATCAGAGTGTTATATGATCAATATTGAATAGAGGATAAAATTTGATAACATCAAAATTATATTGTTTTCATTGCGTCTGATCATAATTGACAATATGACAATAAATTGTTTCATTTTCAATTAAAAGTCTAAAATGTACCGCTGTGAAAATTTTTTCGCCAAGTCAATAACCCTAAATATATCAAGACCACTCGATTAAACAATGGATTTGTAAAATAAATTATTCATGAATTTCCATGAATTATGAGTAATAATTATAAAAAATTGCTAAAAAAGTAAAAAAAATACAAACACGTTAATAATCAAGTAAAAAACACGAGAAAATTCAAAATCAAATTCATTTACAGCAGTGTTACATGTATAATTATTTACATACGTTTTTTAAAAATATGCGGTACATTAAAACTATAGCGAAATTGACTTACGTACGCGCAATAGCAAACAAGCACAATAAACATTATAAAAAGCACATGGGATTCGCACGGCTTTTAGGACTTGAAAGCTTGCGCAGCTCAAAAAGAAAAAAAAACCATCAAAAGCTTTATTGCGCTGCTCGAGGTTCAATGCTCTCGATGCCCGAGTAACGGTACGGCGGTATAAAAGCCCGAACTACAAAAGCTCGCAATCGTAACGCGGCGTATAGCGCGTCGAGTGTTGGCTATACATATATCACACAGATGTGCACATGATTGCGTATGCATGATTGCGGGTCCGTACTCGTATATAAACTTGGCGTATGCGCATTAATGAGAAACCACTGGATCATTCGTGAAGACGTTGGCATTCAGGATGATTATTGCCAACAAACATTACATTTACGAGCCGACAAGCAGAATAAAGACTTTTGCAAGCCCATAAATCGAGGGGTAGTCTTATCAGATCAATAAATTTTATTTTGGATAACCTTTGATTGTCGACGAAAATTTGACTCGATCGTTTCATGCCGCTTACTTCTGATAGTTTTTTTTACCTCCTAACTTTATGCATAGATATTAAGTACCTATATACTACAAAACGTAACTCTCTGATTTTGATCCGAATAAGCATGCGAACAAATTCACATAAATCCTACAAAATTTAACAAACAATCCTAGCTTGTAATTCTTCTACAATGGAGTTCAACATCTATAGACTATTAAAATTCAAAGCGTGTTTTAGAATACGGCTAAATCAGCCTACAATACTGAATTTGAACTAAAAGATTATGCATCCGGGCATGTGTTTCCAAAGTAAGCTGTGGTTAACAATATTTTTGGAGCAAAAGTATTATAGCTGTATCAGGAAAATAATTGCATTAATTTTACAAATAAATTCGTTTTTAGAAATAGCAACTCTGAGGACTGTAGATTGAATAAGACGTGTACTTTATAACATGCAATAAAAAAAGGTATCAATCATTAAGGTTTTTTTTGTATTGTTAATCATATTTTGAAAGTAATTGTTCAATTAGTGACGTTTCTATTAAGAGCAAAAAAGGAAAAAAGTGAAGCAGATCATGAAATGAATTAAAATAGAAGGAAAATATATATTTTAGGATATGAATTTTAAAAGGACTTGACTGCGAAAGCGAAGCAGTAGGTGAGACTGTATTTTCTCTCTTTTCTATTACAAACTCGAATTGCAATCTAACGGTTGATGTGATTTTCTACCTCTTCACGGACCTGAACCTCTGCTACCTTACTAAGTTACGGGCCATTACTGACGAGAAGGGTAAAATTGGTGCTGCAGGTAATTTTCCAACGATGCAAAAATTGTATTTACCCTTGTGCGAAAATGTAAATCTTGCAGCCGTTTAATGAAGAAAAAGTCACTAATGCAAACAACGATAATTGCTTTTACGCAATCACGTAATTCAGTTGATTGAACTACCGAGCAGAGATAATATTTTCAGAAAAATGATGAACTAACAAGTTTTGAATAGCATTCCAAAGTTAAATTTTACTAACGATAAAACCACGAATCATCTACATCTTCGACAGTATTGATTAAGATGATAATACTAATCTGTTTCTTTGAAAAAAAAACAAATGCACTACTCTCGAATTACGGAAAACAATGTTTTTAAGTGAAAAATAACGATTTTCAAGGACAGGATTGGTTAAATAGCTTCATTTAGAGCTCACAGCAACGGAAATCTTCATTTTTAGGCCAAAACTAACTTTGAAAAGGATTGGAAGCGAGGATCTAAGCGACTTCCTAACGTATATGTACGACAAAAGTGAGTTATTTCCACGAAAATTGTTTTTATTTTTCTGAAATCATTAGAATTTTATAATTCTTGACATTATAATGAAAAAAAAAGAAAAAAAAGCAATATAACATCAAAGTCTTCGCTTACGTAATTTTTCAAAAAAATATTCCACAGAAAAAACCTAATTTAAGACTATTATACGATCATCCAGCGGAAGTTTGAATTACAGATTTGCTAGCTGTATGTAACGGCGTAATTTTGTTTTTTTACAAGTATGCCGTGCACTGTTGCAATTAAGTAGCCGGAAGTGCAATAGCTCTAAAATGAATGAAAAATAGTTCTGATCGGGGTTGATTTTTCTATGTAAATAATTGTTTGACTTTAAAATGTTCTTATTTATTTCAGTCATGACACAATAATACATTGATCTAAAGTCGTACGCAAAAAAAATCAAAGGCTCAAAATACACATCGAATATGATGGCTTCAGTTTGAAAACGAATTCAGGTTGCCGAGATAATCTAGAGAGTCGCTTGATTCGAAATCGATTTTCAATTTCCATACCTTTTTCCACGTTGTGCTGCGTTGAGAAGCAGCCCAGTACCAGTTGGCAAAGCCTACACCGTGCAGTAAGAAAACGCGCTCGAATGCGGCCTGTTGCATGACAGCAAAAAGTAAATTAAAACTAGCCACGTTGAAATGTGGGTCGGCGAGGGCTTATTTACAACGTTTTCCGCATGTACGACTTTGTCAGAATATATGCGTATTTTCACCTGCAGTGGAGGGTGTGCGTACATGCTTTTATAAAATCGTTGGCTCAACTTTACGATACCGCGAAAAAATATTCTGCTACTGGGTTTATTACCAGCGCAAAATGCACGTCAGCGTTTAAAAATATAGCGGTTGTTGCAAGAATTTTACTACGCTAGCGATCGAGGATCAGACTGACGCGTGTTGCAACATTAAAACTGAAGTATGTTAAAGAAGAACGACAATTTTCCGAGAGAAGAATTTCAGCAAAGAGTTACAACGACATTGGCGACAAATTGTGCATTTAGTATTTTTGAAAGAGCGAATGGCAATAACAAGAGGTTCGCGAAGAGAAAAGTCGTCACAAAACCGGATTGCGGCATAATGAGTTTTACAGTTGAATCGTGCAGCAGCGTGGCTCTTGGCCTGCTCGAGGTGTCGCGCGCCGACTGCACTGTATACGCGAGACTGCAATTGCCATCTATTCTGTACCGCTTGAATGTGTACAGCTGCACGTAGGACGCATAAACTCGCTGCTCGATGTGGACGAAGAGCGAACAAAGAGAGGCAAAACACGAGAAGAATCGCGCAAAACGACTGCGAAGACTTTTCGACGAAGCGAGTCTGAAGCGTGACCATACGTACACGTAGGTTAAGTACGTATTTTCGGTTCGAGACGGCGACTAACGCAAACCAGTCTTACTGACGTAAAGCGTAAAACGACGTGTGGATGGAGAAAAAAAATTTGTTTAACTTCGCTTCGATGTAGGTACGCTGCTGTTACATACTTATTGCGGTCCTGGTTTAATTGGAAATAATAAGCCAACCTTGATTATGGTGCTTGCTTTCAAGACAATCGATAGTCCTGAAATTTTCCATAGCGGGCTTAACAAATATTAGAACTTCATGCAGATTCGAGACAACTGCAGCTGCTTTCTTTGCACTGATAGAAAAAAGAAATGACCATGAGATAAGTATTAAGAAAGAGAAAGAAAACAGCTATCAACATTTTCAGGCAAAATCAGTGGAACATATGATTGTAATTCATGGTTTTATATACAATCAAACAATTATAACTATTCAACAGTATGCGGGCTGCAACTACAAATGCACTCATCTACGAGTCGTCCATACGTATCCTGACTGAAGCTCGTGACTTCGATCTGTTTTTATACCATCCTACTCTTGTAAATATATTTCTTGTTGCAGCGCACACGATCGCAGCAAACGAGAAGAGAGAAAGAGAGGGGAGAGAGAGGTGAAAAATACTTCTGCTGGAGGTTTGCGGTCTCCAACGATCCTGTTATACCGGTACATTTCACTGCCCAGTAAAATTCACGATCATCCTCAAAATATGTCTTTTGTTTTGACAAAAGTTCAGCTTATAATAACGCGAACTTTTGAGACAATTAATTTTCATTTGAATCGATCAGAAAATAACAAGTAGCTTAGTGATTATAGATGCAAATTCACGTTGTACAGTTGAATCGTTGAATCGTAGGATGTCAATTAATTTTCTTTATTCTAATAAAAACAATCCTCGACCACACTAAAATCTTTTACCAGAATTTCTTGGAAAAATTAGGAAAAAAAATGCTTAAAGTAGGTATTCTTTTCACGTTAATTTCGTTAATATCATGGCGAAAAATATATAAAATATTTTAATGAATTCTTTCAGAATGAAAAATGGGTTACAGCTCAGTAAATGTAGGATATTACATATGTTGTCCCACTAGCCATTAACTCTAACCTACACAACTATTCATATCAACTTCTCTTTTGATTCTGGCTCATCGTCTGCATACCGTTAAACGCTTGACTTATACTTATAATATTTATAGCGAGATGCATGAAAACCGGCAATACTTTACGGATCAATTTGAAGCGAAGGAAAAAAAATTGAAAATATAAATCGATCGAAAATATAAGAAAATTATTAGTAGAAATTATAATATAAAGTCTACTGAGTAGTAGGTATATATCATACTAAAGGTTAAAGAGAAACAGCATTCAATAATTTTAAAATTGTATAAATTCTGACGAATCGATAATGAAGCCCAGGAAACAATCCGCTATTTTTTTTAGCAATGGAGGAAAAGTCCACGATTAGACGATTCAAGAGCAGATAAATCGCATCAAGGGACACTTACCGATGGCGCAGCTGACCTAGAACGCATAGAAGGTTGCAACAGGTTCGTCCGATCTTTGCTGTTTTTTTGATGTTGCTGCTGTTGCTGGTGTATAGCCGCAGCTCGCTGAATTTCGCGCCTCGAAGGCGGTGGCGGAGGAGGGTGCGATAACGGCCGAGCGCTTACCTGGCCGCTACCTGAATTTGGCCTGTGATTCACTGGATATTGAGGGCCCCAAGAGTGACGCGACTGTGGGTAGCCAACATAAGGGCCAGCAAACTGGGGCGAACCGTTCAAGTTAGTCGGCGCCATCACTACAGCTGCTTGTTGTTGAAACTGGCTACCGTTTCGCATTTCACTTGCGCACTGATAGTTTGTACCTTAACGCCCTTATTTTTATTAGCTTTTCTTGATCGTTTCTCGAAAAACGTCACGATCAATTCAATTTTTCCTTATACACATTTTTTATTATTCACAAATTCCACTGCTATATCACTCGAGATCTAGGCACTGTGTAGTAATTTATGTCGATATCGATAACTTCGTGACATGTGATGAATTATGTATTCTATACGATTTGGCAGATGCACTCAGGAAAACTGAAATTTTAAATATATTTTGGCATCAATTATCGCCTCGATGGCTGACGTACATTTTTGACAACTTTGAGCGTCGATGAGTTTGTTTTTATTCGAAAATGTTATACGGTCATACGAATTTTACATTTAACGTCGCTCTTACACATGCACAAATTAAAAATTTTCACTGTTTGTAAACATACTTTCTCTTTTTTGGCGTTGCTAACTTAATGCAATTATAATAAAATTAATTCTTCGATAATCGGGGAAAAAATCATAAATTAATTCACATTAAATACAGCACGTATGGCTTGCTCCCTGTAACATTTACATTCATGACTTTGGTGTTTAGCTCTACTAAAGATCAATTTAATACGCTCTCACTCACGATTTTAATTAAAATGCACTTACTTTCTCACTTATTTGTTTAATCTAACGAACTTTGTACGACTTTATAATAACTTATTGAGAGTGATTAATCTATTATAACCTGTCTTTCATATTTTAAGTCTGCTCTCAACGCACTATTGTCAATTACATGACCAACCGAAAAACTGATTAGTCGGTTTCGCATGATTTTTCTTAAAAAGAAATCAATAGAATTAAGAATTGAAAACTCGAAGTTTATAGAGACCAGAAGAAAATAGAATCAAGTTTATATAAAGATATCTTCACAAACTGGAAAACTGTAACGATAAACACGTCCGCTTAGACTTCTACTTGATCAAAAGACAAAACGAAATGCATTACAAAGTTAGATAATTTTTTTCGGGATAACCAAGAGGTTTGTTTCGGGAAAAGGTATACCACATAGTTTGAATTCTTGATCATAGATTGCAACAACTGGAAATCACCTTCTGTTAACATTATGACAATGAAAGCTTACTTATGTATCAAGCGTTTTTAGATGGTAAACGATTGCTAACTTTACTGCTTTGTCTAGATGCTAAAAAACAAGTAGTCTCATTTACATTTGTACATTTGTATTTAACCTGGAACATGGGCAAATCAGTAACGTGACCACTCTGTGACAAACTAAAAACACTCTGTACCATCATATAAACACAAAAACATGTGTTTTTTCATATAAAGGCCTATAGTTTGTTCAGCATGAATTTTTTTGGAATAGACGGACCAAGGCTTAAATACACAGAATTCCAAAGATTATGAATATATAATGTTGAAAGGTTTAAAAAATGCGACTTATGAGCATAATTTAAAAGAGTGAAAGCTTTTTTTATTTTATTTTCTTCAAGAGCATAGAAAAAAAATGTGAAAATTTTAGATAGAAAAATTTGCGGCAAAAATTGATTTGCTGATCAAGTTTGCATAAGCAAACAACAAAATTCATGATAAACTTTTTTTCACTTTTGAACAGTAATTTGAATATCAATAAAATTTCACGACGCCCAAGCCTGTTTTCCTGTTCATATTTATGGTAATATTTTTATTTCTGAATAAATATGAAAAGTATGTCTTTGTACACATTCGGTTTACTTTAGTGATGTGGATTATATCAAGCCTTGCGGAGAGTTTGTGAAAATAAGAAGTTCATTTCCTATTAAATCCGAAATGAGAATAGTATAAAAAATTCACGATGTATTTTTTGTTTTTACTTTGTTAAAGAGAAGCGTAGTTAAAAAACAAAGAAAAATGACTTGTTTTAAGCACTGTAACTAAAAGAAGTAAAAAAACATACATACAATGGTGTTCCACATAATCTTAGTTTGTAAAAAGCCAAAATAAAAAGAAAAAAAAAACAGAAAAAGTAGTTTATGTACTGAATGTTGTAGATGCCAAAGCGAGTAAAGAAGAAGACTAAGATAAGGATGGAAAGTAGAACGAGGTAGAAGGGGTATCAACTTGGCACCTTCAACAGTCACAGTTACGAAGGGAGTAATGACACCGAGCAATGTGTGTAAAAATGTGTGTTCTAGGCACATGCTTTTGCAAAAAAAATTCTATGCTTCATTTGCCACGTTGCCTACCACAAACAGCTCGTTCTTAGTTTTTGACTCTCCATAGTTTTTCAGCACAAGTCCCTTCATTTAACATACTCTTATATAAAGTCGCAAGCTTTAAAAAATTTAAAGCAGTGGCTGAAAGCCTAGCGCAAGGTATTTACCAACAAAGCAATGGTCAATTAATGCATGAAAATACAGTAATTTACTTTTTTTTCATCGTGGCAGCTTCCTTTATTAAATTATATCTATGTTTATATGATGAATTTTTATAATTTATTTTATACTAACTATTTCGAATATTAATGACAAAAAAAGAAAAATAATCATTTAGACTTTTTAGTGAAGAGCCCTAAACAAATATGAAGTTGAAAAAAACAGGTAATAAAAGCAATTCCTACACCAAAATGTAAAAAATAAATTCTGAAAAACTAATTAAACTACGATGAGATAACCTTAACTTGTAAGAAGCGCTGTAAAAAATCGAATATATTTGGAGTCTATTTGTGCGCAAGATTACTTTGTCGGTATCGCCTCTTAGCAATCTGCATACGAAACCATAACTCATTCGCTCCTCGGCTACGCTCGGAAAATAGAAAGCCTAAATGAATGAGAAAATGTATGTGCACAGCAGCAGGATAGCGGGCTCACGTAAGCGCATGAAAATATCGTACAAATATACCCGATAGAGTCCATTGCATTTAATTGCCCCCGTAGAGGTCGCTCGAACTCAACTGCGACTACTCGAGAGATCTCGAAGGCGCGAAAAAGTTACTTGGTGACACAAAACAAATGTTCAGCCCACGGTGTTCATAGAGATTTCAACTTTTGGGACTTCATCTTTTTTTCCTGCTAATAGAGTGGAGCTTTGTCGAATTACGAAATGCAGCATGGAAAATTCCGTAATGCCACGTATATTTTTACAATGCAAGCCGTGTGCATTTCTCTACGCGTACTTAGCATATAACGATCGCGAGGCGAAAACGTGGGAAGAGTCGCGCAATGAAATACAAAGGATAAAGCTAGGCAAGCGTGTGGAAGATTACGTAGGAGCTATTAGCTTTATTCCGTTTACCTACTCTCTTTCTCGGCTCAGAAGTTTTTGTCCGAGTAAGTGGCAAAAGGAAATTCACGCAGGCAAGAAAACCGCGAGCTCGAGTATTTTTGAAGCTACTAATTTTCCTCTTTCACTCCCTTCCTTTCAATGCGTGAAAAGTAGACCAATTTTTATTCCTGATATATTTTCGCAACTTTGGTACGGAAGAGTATCGTGACCAGGTGTCAAGCTTAACTGCACGAGTTCATTCATGAAAAAGTGCCGTGATCAGCGTGCACGCAAATAGGAGCTATAAACTGCTGATTATCACGGATATGGAAATTTTCGCCAAAACTCCTTGTTAGATAGCTTGGTTGGATATATAATGGAAAAGTAAAAGTATACGCTCTCATTTGCATTTAAATGAAAAATAAATCTATTGAGTCAGTTTAAGTGCTCAGGTGCTTGCTGCACGAAAAGTTTAATTTCCATAAAACTCGTTGACTCAAACATTATATAGTGATCTCGATTAAAAAACTCATTGCGTTACTAGTTATAGGTTAAACCGAAAAAATAAATGTGAATGAACGATTTTTGTAGAAAACAAAAACAATCCAGCATACAATACTCGTGCTTTGTGCAGGACCATATTTACAATTTTTCTCTATCCCTCTTGTCCCTGTTTTCTTGGTTCCCCTTCTATTGCATTGAACATACAATGCAATTGTGCATTCATACATATATATCCACCCCCATTGCAGCTCGAGTAACAAAGAACTTATAATGTACCAGAACATATGGGTTATTTTCCAGGAGCAATTATTTAATCAACACGAAGAATGTTATAGGTGGATATGAGATCGAAAATTCATTGCCAATCATTGACTAGTTTACAGTTTGAAAGTTTCTTAAGCTTACAGATAAAGTGGTAACAGAGAAACAAATATGAACAGATCATGAGGTTTAGTCGATCAAAACTTAACGAACATAATTTCAATTTTTTCAAGAAGTGAAATACTAATAACGTAGTTTGGGAAAATTTTTTTTATATTGCAAGTATGTAAAATACGAATTAAAGCCATAAAAATAAAAAAATAAAACGTATTAATCATGAGTAAGTTGCGAAAATTGAAATAAGTTCATTGAACCGCGAGTAAAATGAAGGGACACAGGCAACCAAATGGTTCTTGTATAGACGCTACTAATTTGCTAGCTAGCAGCCACTCTTTGATATCTGTCGATTTTCTAGCATTCGAGTTGAGAAATAATAATTCAAAGGGTGAAAGCGTTGGCAAGAGACGATCGATGTTGCGCCCTATTGAAGGCGTGATCGCGAACTATCGCGATTAAGACTATTCTCGGCGCAATTTTTATTGGGAGAAAAGCCCAAGGAATGGAGGTGAAACGAAAGCTAAGCTGGCTCGCCTTTCTCGAGCGCGTGACACCGCGAATAAAGTCGCAGTTTCTCCCAACGCAAACCATAATTAAACTCCTGCAGTGACTTATCTCGTTAAATTCGCAGCCACATTATTTTATTTTTAAATCCTACATAGCATATGGACGTGTGCGTGTGTTCGCTTGACACGCGTCGAGGATTGCGCGCACGTCTGCGTTGAACGCGTACACACGCACGAATAAACACGGACATACATACATAAAATGTATACGAATGTAAGCTGACGCATACGCGCGTCAAAGTGCGCAATTCTCTTCTCATTGTGTTTCTCGCATTCTTCCAGTAAGCGCATATTTAGTACGAGCCGAGCCTTTTCCATGCATTTTGCAGAGTTGGTAAGAAGATTCAACTCTTGTATATTCAAAAAATCAATTTACTTCAATCTTAATGTTTGTTTTTTTTAGAAATGGTGATAATTCAAGGTCATTTTTGTTTTCGAGTTATCTTACGGTGTGATTATGATAAATCAAGAAAAACATTACCGATCAATGTACTGCTTACGTACGTTTAAATAGTTGAATTCAAGAATACAGTCGCGAGTATATCACGAAAAAAAAGAAAGCTGAGAACCTTGAATGTGAGTAGAATGCGGGAGCCAAGTTTCGTCAATTAAGAGACTGATTTTAAAAACTGGACTCAAGAAAAAAATAAAGAAGATACTGAAATTCAAACCGTATACATTAACACTGTGAAGGCTTAAGAGTGTAGAGAAATAAAAATTAAATCAAATGAAACAAAGAGTAGCAAAGACGAGAAACCAGTATAAGGACTTGGAGTTTTGCCAGCTGTCGCCGATTTTTGCAGTTAGCGAACACAGGTTCTTTGCTTATCATAACTAGTGCTTGTAACTTTGCATTTTCCCCGAGTTTTACGAAAAAGTAAAACGCCGGAAAAAGCCACGCCAGATATCAGTATTCTTTTTTTACTTACACTGCAAAACGAACTAACTCAAACGAAATTTTCTTTTACATATATTATTTTAGAAACATCACAGTTGCTTTGAAAAAAAGTTAAAGACACAAGGTGAACGATCTATAATATTGTACGTACGAAGTAGACAAAAATTTCTTACCTACAGAGGCATTGACAAATAAATGTTTCAAGTAGCAATTCGTATTGTGGTGACAAATATCAATCAATTAATGTTTTTTTTTCGATCGATCTTTCGAGACCACTGAACTATTTCTTATTGCAGTAGACAGGGTACATAAATTGGCCAATCAAATAAACTGTCATACAGTAAATTGACATTTTAGTAAAATCGTCAATAATAATTCACTCTATTAAGTAAGAAAACAAACCAAAGAGATAGTTATTTATTTACAAAGAGAATAAAAAGTACTCTGTAAGTAAGAAGAACTGATCGTAACTTTTACCGTAAAGTCTATAGCTGGCACGGTCCACATGTGTATTCGTAACTATCCTATACAAGTAAAAACTAGTTTGGAGATGCCTTTCTAACCGTGATTAGCTAGGTAGACTTACGAGCGCATGACCTGTGCGTAGCGCTTATTACATCGAACGAAAAATCCAGTAACGGCAAGGCCAAAATTTCTCGACAATTGGAAGAAAATTTCAAGTATTTTTCAGTGGTGTACGAACATCGCGAAGGCAGCGAAACTTGCAAGGAATTCACAGCTATAGTTGCAATATCGGTCTCTACGGAAAGGAGAAAATGAGCCAGTCGGTTCGTATAACATTGGCTCACTTGTGCGTTCGCATGATATAGACACACAGACAAACTATAGACACTCATAAACCAATATAACGACAAGCAGATTTTTTAGGGAAAAAATCGGTATTCAGTAAGCCTGCGTAGTATATTTGCTGAAAGAGTGACTAATTGGAAATTTTTCGAGCGCGTGTGCGATTTTCTTTGTACGAAAGTTATTGATGCTCCGGAAGACACATGGGCAGAATATAAGCAGGGCAATTAATTTTATATAACTGCATCGCGATTACGACGCGATTCAGTTCTTTCGAAAAGCCGTTCATTCTATTTTGGCGTCGATTCGAGCGACCAATGCCACGTTATGCACGACTTTGTACAGTGAAAGTGAGACTTGTTAGCGCGACACAGCTGCTGCCAGCTATAGCTTGGCCGTTTGTGTATAGGCCGTGGACTCGCGCACGCCCTGTACCTGGTGAGACTGGCAAGCGCACTTATATCTTAGCTGCTCGTCATCGTCGTCGTCGTCGTCGTCGTTCAACAAGTATGCAGAGTCTTTGACTGCGAGATTTTCCCAGGCTGAGCCACCGGAGTCGCGTCGCACGTACTTTATGTCGACGACTTCGAGTCGACTTGAGAAGAAATACAAAACGCGAACAAAGAGATACGATTTGTCGCTAAGTACCTCGCTCGAGCCTTTTTTTGTTAACGCTGTATGGAAAATTTTTCCCCGACGTTTGCGCACCAATACAGCTCAACGCATGCTCTGCTTTTTCTACTCGATGTTTCTTTCGTTCATTCAAATGTAGTCGCTTCTTGCGTCTGGAGCAGCTTATGCATGCATCGCCAACTTTCACGAGGTGTCTAGTAGTCTGCGTTATTTTTATCGCGCGTTGCAGCTGCGCTTGTATTTAGAAAAAAACCATCGAGTAATATCGAGTCAGCACCGCTAGAAAGTGAGGAATATGCATTTTTAGTGAGTGGGCGATCATCTCATTTACCGCTGTACACCTCGCGCAACGCGTGCTCATGTGTACGCGCTCGAAAGCCGTGTACGCATAGACAATAAAACTTTTACTTTTTTTATTAAACATGTTCAAAGCAATCGATTCATAATTTTTTCATTGAAAGTTTGTATGATATCAAAATGTATTCAGTATTCTCTACATAGCAGTAGTTCACTAACATATTGTTCGTTTTTTTCATTTTCAATATTATTTTATGGATATTCTGCTATGGAGAATGGATCACATAAGTCAAGGTTTGCTGAAATTACTGCATTCGTCGATCGTAGTGTAGAAGCAATACGAATGACTGTTGAGCTATTGAATTGCATTTCAATGTGTTTGGAAATAGTATAAAACTAAATGACCACAAAATTAATGTTTGGCACGATCGAACCAAAAATCGTATACAAAAGAACGATTGAGTTGATGATACTCAATATTTATAGTGAGTTGTGGATTTTGCGCATTTTTTTTTTTTTTTTGTGAAAGTCGACACACTCGAATTGTTTTGCACGCCATAAAACGTAGGACATTCAATTGCCGGATTGAAGTAACAAATATCTAAAAATAAGTTGATTTCTTTGGTATGAGGTGAGAAACAGAAAGATTGGAAAAAGTGAAACTTCAGTTTCATGATTACGGAATGTTCAAGACGCGCGAAGAGACAATTGAATTTTTATTGAAGATATCAGGAACAAGAAGTCAACAAAAATTATCAACAAATTATTTCATACAAAATCATTCGGGTAGAACTCTTGAAGTTTCATCGAAATATTTTAACTTATCGAACAGTTATTTAAGGACGGCTGCTAGAATCTGGTTGAAAAGAAGAGAAAAAGAAAAAGGAAGCTCGATTTTACGAGCGCCGTCGATGCGAGTGGTTTTTTAGCATTGCAGCGGCCAACTTTACTATATAGAGATCGTTACTTCACGCAGAACCGTAAGGATCGACTTGCATGAGCACGACTACACCTCTAACAGCAGCAGCAGCATCATCATTGGCGTCATCATCATCGGCATCGGTGCATGCGCTGGCTACAGTGGCTGCGTTATATGCTACATATAATATATAATATAACATTATGTAGGATATAGAGATAGTTTGGGAAGGCGAGAACAGTAGCGGCACGAGGCGTTCTCGCGGACGAGCTTTACGCTCTACATAATACGCACAGGAACTCGCGAGCCGGTCACGTGAGAGAGAAAGAGAATAAGTCGAGAATTATTAGAAAACGCATTAGCTTACTTTTTGTTCTCGATTATTTTTCGCTTTTTCTCTTCTCGGACGAGAGTCGCCTCGCAATTGCCAAGTTTATTGTTTTATCTTATCAGCTGGCGCAGTCCACACACTTGAGGCGCGCGTGGTGTGCGCGAGTTCGCGAACGTGCTCATCTGCTCTCCGGAGCTCGCGCCAGATACGACCGATTGTTTTCGCGTTCCCGACGCCATCGAGATAATTGCTCTGTTTGTCGCTTCTGCTGCTGTTGTTGTAGTCAAAGACGTCGTCTTTGGTAGACACATACGTACGAGCGTCGAGCTAAATACGTCTATGGCCCGTGAGCTAGACGAGAAAACGACCGATAGTGTACCGCGCGGACATTGCTCGGCGCAAATTAGTCATGTCTCGTACGGCTTGGCTAAGGCAGAAAGAACCGCGACACTTTCTACTTTTGGCGTTCTCGACTCGGGCATTTAAAGTAATTCGAATATGATGGTTGACGAGTTATAGCTCCGATTTTTTTCGGGAATCAAAAAAAAACATTAACTGGTTGGATATTAGTCATCGCGACAGCCCAACGATTGTCTACATTGAATACGCACGCATGTATACGTCTGAGAATTATCTTAGCAGCGCTTAAAGAATAATTTACGTCAGCTGCTCATCGAGTTTGTATTCGAGTCTAAAACAATCATTTGTCTAATTTTGTCGTAGCGAAGCTCGCACTCTTTACAAAAATATAGCACGTTAGAAGGAGAAGAGCTTGAACGCGCATGCATTATGCATGTGAAAATGGTCGAAGTTAAGCGAGGCTAAGGCAAAGACAAAGTCGATAAGGCAGCTGCAGGATGTTGGCTGCGCGTCACACCGGTCGCGGCCGCCGGTCGCCAACGTCACGCGCGACCAAAACATCATCGGCATATTTTGCTCAACGCTGCGCACCTCAGCGATCGTCATTATCATACAGCAACGCGTCGAGCGTGTCTTGCAGCAGGTATACTGCGCTGAAAAACGCCGCGGCTCGCTACTGCGCATGTCGTCGCTTTAGTGCGCAGCGCTGAGCAACAACAAGAACAACGAGCAGGAGAGCAGCGGGAAATCAACAATTCTCTCCGCTGCCATATAGCGCGCGCTCTCATGAATTTTGCACTATTGTGTCGGCTTACGTAAAACTGCCATAGTCGCGCTAGCTATACTGTATGCACGTGCACTCACACATGCTCACAAATGCACACGCACACACATGCCAACATATACACTTAAACACACAGGTACAAGACAAAGTGTTGTTGTATGCGCGCACCGCTCGCCATGACGCAACGCGAACGCTGTATACGCGTCGAATTAGCCGATCGAAACAAACTCATCGAATCCTTTGCTCAGTTGTCAAATGCACCAAGACATAAATAGACGGGCAGTCGGTTACCTTATAGGGCTATGCGCAGTCTGCGGAGCAGCAGGCAAACGCGACGCAATTACAGCGCCAGTAGTGTATAGTATGCACAAGTGGCGTTCGTTGTATTAGCCGCAAGCCGTCGACAGCTGCACGAGCCACCTTACTTCTTCTACTGCCAAGGTATATTTCTATGCTTTGCGTATTCGGGAGCTGCAACTCCGGAGCAGCAGCGGCAGCAGTAAAGGAAAGCCGCACTGTAACGGAACACACTAAACGCACTTGTATATATGTGTACACAACACGATTCACAGCTGCAGAGCGGCAGCAACTCCACGGATTACGCCGCGTCAACACTGCTCACTAACAATGCTTATAACATATAGCAGGTAATGCACGAGACGCGCTCATGGAAACACCGACGATTTCTCTCTCTCTCGATCGAAGGCGTCGCGACTGTCGTGTGAGGCAGCAGCTGCGAAGTTGTCCGCCGCGCGACGCTGACTGAGCGCTCGACGATCTCGATTCTCCGAGCGAACCTCGGCTCTCGACGCTCTCTCTCTACCGAGTCGCGCGAGGAGAACCGATAAATGCCCGAATGCCGAGCGAGCTGCAGCTTTGCATGGACGTGTCTACTGTGTGTATATAGAGGTACACGAGAGCGGGGCCCGGGGCACGCGAGAAGAAAGGCGCGGGAGTGGCGCGCCGTACGCGAGAGCCGAGCGACTCGTCGATGCAGCACCGCCGAGCCACGACGAGGACGAAGAGAGAGAGAGAGAGGCAGATCGGAGGCCCCCGCCGCTTCACCGGTCGTACCTTCACTCTATCTCTGCGCCTACAGCTGGCCCCAAGGTGGGGGATACCCAACGAGACTCGCCAGCCTACGTACACTAGCCGATCTAGCACGTATATCGGGCCTCGCAGCGCTCGATCATCCTCTGCTCAACTGAATTCACTACGTAAACTGCAAGCCAGAGCTGCTTATTTTTCCTCTTTGTTTTTTCAAGCTCGGTACGTTTTTTCTGTCTCTGCTGTCGGCTTAAGCGGCAAATCTTCTGCTCTCCGTTTTACCTGACACTTGTAAACTCTTATTTCATATTATATTCTCTAAAAGCAACATTTTTTCCTCCATAACTTCATCTTAAGTATCGAGAGTTAAAAAAATAAAAGGATAGGTTGTTTTCAATCGAACGCTGGTACTTGTTCAACGCCACTGATTTTCTCTACTTGCTAATCAGCTCTTGAATAAACGAAACAAAATATTTTTCCACCTCAATACTTGAAAGCCCCGAGTTTATTCATGTCTCTAAATGTTTGGATTGAAATGTAAAAAAAGTGAACACGCATCACATAAATAATGTAATGCGCAACGCAGATAAAACCTTTGCAAAAAAGAGCGGGAAGCGAATACGCAGGTAAAAAATACTAGTTGTGTTATAAAAGATCTTATTCTGTAAAACCGGAAGCAATGGGTATTGTCGATGCAGTGCGCTATTGTCTCCAGCACGCATTACGTCTAAATGTCTCTCCTCGTGCAGCAGATATTATTTTCAGTCGCACGACGATGCTGTCTTCCATGATACACATCAAAAAGCGTTACAGTAGATTACTTGTGCTTCCGCTTTCCTCGCTGCATCCGAACGACAGACGTACAAGTTGCGAAAATGCCTAGATTTCGCACTCGAGTTGTGTACATTACTTTTCGACACTACATGTGGAATGAAACTTTCAAGCTTCTAACGTGCTTCGAAAATCAAACTTTCTCCACGCCATTATAATATACTACGCGGAAACTGTAGGAACTCCTGCGACTTTTTTAAATTACTAATTTCACAAAAAAAATATACGTAAATTGTGATTGAAAAACGAGTATCAATTTAACAATCTTCATCGATTAATAACTGTCGAATGAAGTCACAGTTTATCAATTTTCGGGCATCATTTGAATTCGAAAAAAAGTTTAATGTCAGCGAAATATCAAAGTCGTACGATTGTAGGCTAGTAAAAATAATAAATGGCTTGTGGTTATGAATAATTATGCGAACTGAAAATGGAACTTGCAAGCAACATTATTTAGGCCGTCAATATGCAAGTATATTGAAATGTTATTAAAGATTTTAATTGGCACTCGAACACAACAAAATTAACATTAAGTTTGGTTGTTATTGTAGTACTTGAATTTATTGCTGCGCAATCGTTGTTTTATCGGCTGCGGAATGCGATAGACTTACGCACGATTAAATTAATTCGACCAACGAGAATCGATAAGTCAATCGAGTCATTTGTCATTTGAGAAAAGACGCACTCGTCTGAATGGGAGGGCTTCGGAACAAGCTGTCACGAAAGTAAAAAAATTGTCAAGCAATAAGAAAGGTCTAATGAAAAAGTCCGCAGAGCGTACACAGATAGCAAGCGAGCCAAATTTCCAAAGAGAAAAAGCTCGGCGAACGAATCTGAAATTCAAACGGAAGCGAGCTAGCTCGAGCGGTGTGTGTATGTGTGTGGGGGCTCAGCCGGTAGACGCTGCGCGACGAGAGCTGCATTCGATATTTATATACGGGATCGTATAAGAAGTAGCAGCGAGCCGCGTACATATGAATGAGAAAGAAGAGCCGAGCTCTCGGTTTTGTATGCATATGCGCGCACGGAGATTGGAGTCTGCGAGGCAGCTCTCGCACCTGCACGCACCTGTGTACAAATGTAGATGCAGCACGTCGGCGCAGCTCAGGCTGTTCCGCATTCTATATCGGCGTGTCGATGTACCGCTAAGCTCGCATTCTGCGCCTCGTGTAAACTTGCGCGATTTTCAAAAAGTACCTCTCGATCTTGACTCACTCGCTCGCGCGCGTACACACACACACACACACACAGGCGCGACTGCGAGTCATCTCGTTGCTCCGTCTATGCTGAATTCTTGCTCAGAAGAAACATCGTCCGCAGCCGGTCACGCTGAAACTACGAGGCAAAAAAAGCTTCCGCTATGGACGCTCGCTGCTTGCTCCATGTTCGTTGCTGCTTTTGTTGCACACGGCTGCTTCGCGAGCAGAGCCTCTTCCATAAAAACGAATCAATACGATTTAAATGGGCAAAAAAATCGCATTTTGTATAGCCACGACATTCCGACATTTTCAGCTGAATTTCTCCTATTGAACGGTTCATCTGCGTATAACCACGCATTTTTATTTGTTGAGCACTGCGTTCCAAATGCATAGAGCGCTGAGCATCGATTGCTTGCACACGATCGCCGTATCAAAATGTCAAGGAAATGCTTTTAAGATTCTTCGTGACCGCCAGCAATTTATGAAATATTGTGCGGTCGCGCGCTTGATGACATCTCTTCTTGCTTTAGATATACTTGACGAAATCCGTTGAAAATATTCTCGCCGTGATTGTTTCCCGTTCCATTTTCGCATTTTCCGAACGCAACGAGTAATTAGAACTGGCACCAACTTGACTAGCTCGTCGAGTAATAACATGAATTTTCGACCAATTTTCTGCGTAGTTCGTTCAACGCACACCGCGTTCGTAACTACTTTTTCTCTCATTGTTCATTTGCTCGCGTCTATTTTTTCTTTATTGTTGTACGCACCTGTTTTCTCTGTAAGCTCTAGCGCACTCGCATAAGAGAGGATGTGACACAAGCGGCAATTGAATATATTAATTGTAGCTTTGACAGAAGTAACGGTGCTCTCGCTACACTAGCAGCCAGCTATACACGTATCCATGACGTATATTATTTTCTACATGCGGATGTACGCCGAGCCCCAGTGTATGTAGAACATTATAAAACTTTATCAGCAGCACTACTGACTAAAGCGCCTACTGCCTCTATCACTCTTGGTTCGGTCAGGTTTTTGCGCATATTCTAAACGCTCGATAAACAAGCATTTTGTGGATCGCAAATGAAACGACGAAATAAGTGTCCATGAAAGTTTTACCCTTGTTATTTAAGGATTACTTTTCCACTGGTTCTTGGCTGAAACAATAGTAATGTGTACATTCCCGAAGGTTCTTCTACTTCTCATATTTTCAAAAACCAATTTAAAAAAACTATAAGAGCCAATAAAAAGCTGCATAATAATAAAAAAGGCATCATTATGAAAAAGTTGGTGAATTAAAGGACAAAGTCAGAGTTAAATAAGATTGATCGACGAGTTCATACCGATACTGATAACCGCGTATGTGTAATGCAACTCAAGTATGAAAAATTGAAACCGGGTTCCTTGTCGGACAAGCTAAATAAACGGTGAAGCGTCAGTGGAAGAAGCTGCGCGCGGCAGAGCGACTCGCTGCAGAAATACTCGGCGGAGGAAGACGACTTTTTGCGCTTTACCGAAGTTATGCAATCGCGAGCACCGCATCCGTCTGCAATACAGACGCGAAGTTGGAATAATGCGCGATCCTCGGCATCATCTTTGATTCGTTACGTCGCACAAATTATAAGTATCGTGTTTTATTGAATGCGATACGTCATTTTCTCTAATGCATACAAAACTGATAACGCAACTTAGGATCATAAGGTAGAGATGAAAAAGCAAAAAAGAAACGCAGGCGATAGTGCGAAAACAGGGATCATTGTGTTGTAGCTGTTACCGTACATTTCTGCGTGTGCATAATGCACTTATGAACGCACACATACTCGACTGTATAGGGGCAAAGTGAAAGGCGACGACGAGGACGCTGTTGCTGCGCATGAGTTCGTATGTATGTATATATATTTATGTAGGTACAAAATGTATGTGCTGTGAATTGTTGTTGCTGCTGATACTTTTGTGGCCTCGCTGTATGCAATTCAATCTCACGTACGATACTATTGCTCTTTGCTTCAGCGAATGACTGTACTCATTCGTATATTCTATGAGTGCAAAAAATATCTTTTTAGAGTGTTTCGCATCTGCGACAATTTTTGAAAAGTCACTAGAAAACCATCTTAATATGTGTACATTAGCTACGGAGCATTTGAAGAGCAACGGCAGCGGAAAAAGCTGAGAAGCGCGGATGCTTGAGTGGGTCTCGAAACGTTGTGTCTCCGATGTTATTGCTGCAGTGGCATTTCGAGCAGTGCCGCATTTCGTGCTGCACGCGCGAGATAGACGATGCAATTACGAAAAAAGATGACTGAACGGTTCTGTGTTGTGCAGTCGTCGATGTTCAAGAATCTCGTAAGCTGCAACTCGCAGCCGAGCGCGCCCATATTGCACTCTGCCGCTGCTATACCGCTGTTACAGCTACTTATATACTGTCAGGATATCGAATCTAGCCGTTGCAGCACGTAACATGGCGCGATTTGCCAACTTTTTATTTTTATTCTTTTCTGCTATAACGTATGATCGTTGCTCAGCTAGTTATACAATTACGACAATGTTTGATTTGACACAGGTATGGTCTGGCAATTAATTCTATTATCAGAGCTCTCGACTATTGTTGCCTATACAATCTCGCATGAACATACACGAATTGCTATTAACTGCTTTCCGCAAAAAGTTGTATCTCAGTGTATATCAGTAATAGAAAAAACAAATTAAGTGAATGATTATATCGAAAAAACATGGAAATTATAAAATAAAAATTTTTCCACCTTATAATTGTTTTAAGTAAATAATTTAATCACGATAATGAATACAGGGTGTTACACCTTCTCACTGTGAAGAATAATATTTAAATCTTAACATATATTTTTGCATTCATTACAGTTTTTAAATTGAATTT